GTGCTTTAAATGACTCCTTATTGGGTATATCAATGAGTATCTCAGCGCCTCATTTGTGGTCCATGTCTCTGCTTCCTGCAGAAGATGCTTGACCTTTTGTTTTCCCGCAGTGAGCCGGTCCTTCAATCTGAGACAGGAAGCGAGACACTCCCTGATAACCCCACACTTCCTGTGCCTCAGGATTTAATACCTCCACTGTTTGCCAAAGCGCTCATCTAAAAGGAAAACTGGTTTCTCACGTGTGTGTGTGTGTGTGTGTGTGTGTGTGTGTGTGTGTGTGTGTGTGTGTGTGTGTGTGTGTGTGTGTGTGTGTGTGTGTGTGTAGCAAAGCGGACAGAGAAACTTTATTTTGAAGCAAACAGTAGAAAAAAAAGTAGCAGGCAACAAAAACATAGGAAGGAAAAGCGGGAGAGAAGAGGGAGGAGAGGGGAGATAAAATATGAGTGAGAAGAAAAAAATCAAAACATTAGAGGAAAGACCTCGAAATTCAAAAAGAAAGTGAAAGAAAACAGACTGAAAAACCTTGAAAATGAGTGTTTAGGGAAATTGGGAAAGGGACAGCTGGAGGAGGAAAATGGAGAAGTGAGAGGAGGAGGAGGAGGAGGAGGAGGAGGAGGAGGAGGGGCTGAGAGATAAAGCTGTGGGAGATAAAGTGAAGGAGAGACCCGCTGAGTTCCTGGAATGTGCTGGTGGGTTTGTCCGGAGGGAGGTTGTTTGTGAAGGGAGCGTTTGTGGGTTATGAAAGTGTGTTTGTGTGTGTGTGTGTGTGTGTGTGTGTGTGTGTCGGCGAGGGTTTGTGCAGATCTGGCCTGATGGAGTGATGGTAGGTGTTCGCCGTGGTTTCTGTGCACGCTCAGACTCCTAGCTGTTGTCCTGTGGTTTATGATTATGGATCAGTAATCGACGAGGCTCCCTGAGCAGAAACAACACCGACACGAGTGCTGGCAGCAGCGGCGGCGGCGGCCATTAGTGGCAGTGGCCCTAAGAGCTGCGGGCACAATAACCTCAAAACACACAGGCGAAGAGATAAAACACAACAAGGAAATGAAGAAAACATCTTCACCAAATTGACAACACATGCAGAAACACACTGCAAACTCTCCAAATCCTCCAAAGTACAGAAAACACAACCGAACACACAAACCAAGCCACGCAGAGAGTTTTGGTTTTGAGGAATCCAATCTCCGAATCGATCTACAGTCAGTGTTTGGTTCCATTCTGGGCTGCTGTAGGAACATGGTGGTTCAACACGGCGGCGCAATCCGCCAAAGGAGGACCAAAAGCACAACAATTCTCACTGTCAGGTGATTATGCACTAATGAAAGCAGCATTGGCATAGTCAGCTGAAAACTGGCAACAACTTGTTTGTCGGGGCGTGTTCGACAGTTGGAAACATCATTTCAGTTTGTTTTTGTTGTCAACCTGGTGAACTTATTTCTGAATTTGCTCAAATGTATGAAGACGGTTTCTTCTATTATGTGTTTTCTTAACAAAAAAATAATCACCTTCAGCTGTGTGATAGAAAACCTCTCAGTAAACCTTTCTATCTCAAAGGGGAGGAGTCTTTTTTTTTTACCATAAAGTCTGAGAGTTAGAATAACACATGGCAGACAGAAGGAAACTCTATCATGCCAGTTGTGAATGCCGTAAGTTTCCTCGTTGCTAACAGACACTGTAACAAATCCTCCCCCAGGCCACAAAATCCAGGGCGCAGACAATAGCCTCCACACCCCAGACAGGCAGAACGGTGCTCCAACAGGCCGATTCAACGGCTCAACAACAGCCTTAACTCCACCACTGCCACTTGACTCCACTCCAGCAGGCTGCCTCGCCTCAACCCACAGCCAGTCAGTCAGCCAGTCAGTCAGCCAGTCAGTCAGGGAGTGAGACTGACAGGAAGCTCGGCACAGGGCGAGGACTCAGGATCCATGTGGCAGCAGCATGAATGCTATTCTGTCTGGAGAGTTACTGGGAGGCTGACATGGAGGAAGCAGAGGTCAGAGGGTCGCGACGCGTCTGTCCGCTGAGGAGACCGCGACAGCGCCTCAGCTGCAAGTTCGGGTCAGGATGAGAGGGGAGGGGAGGGGAGGGGAAGGGGGGCCGCCTACCACAACAATGTCACAAGCAGAGATACTCGACCCTGCACCTTTACGGACACAGAGAGGAGACAAAGCAGCAAACCTTCATTTTTAAAAAAGGGTCAGTTCATATAAAAACACGTTTGTCTACCAGCCTAAGAGACCTCGGAGACAGTTTTGGTTTTAGGTGCTGAGGGTTTGAGATCTCTGACTTTAGACACTGATATGATCCCTGAGTTTCAGTACCAACACAAGACCTTTCTTTGAGCGTAAAGTTCATGTTTGACCTTGAAATATATAATTTTTATATTTTTTCTGGCGCTTTTAAATACATCTTACGGTCTTCATCAGAGAAATTGCTCAGTTATCATGTGGCTGAAAGCTCTGACAGTATCTCAGTCCCTCACAAGCTTTAAAATGTCTGATTTTGAGGTAGCTTTTCTAAAAGAAATTGTGACGCATGTTGCAGTGCTTTCAGGCATTTCTTTTTGTATAATTCATGAAAAGAAACTGAAGGCAACCTGTCCCTGTGACAATAAAATCACTGGTAGTTTGGTGACGTATAGCTCAACGTTTCTTCAAGGATGGGACAAGATTTGCGAGGTCGTGCAGAATTCACAGGGATTGGATGAATCTTGAGAAGTTTAAGTTCTTAAATATAAAATGTCCAAACTCAAGCAGCCATTTTGTCTAACGCACACAAAGTCATAAAGTTTATATCCAATTCTTTCCAGCACTTCCATTATTAAAGGGTCAGTTCACACAAATAACAAAAAGACGCATTTCCTCACTGACCCCTAACGGTGTCCAACAATGCAGACAAATTTAATTTAATTTGTTGATTAGAGCACGACCAATATATCGGTTGGTATCATCAGCTAATATTGGCCTATTGTTGACACATCGGTATCGTAACGGTACTGTAAACTGTTCTTCTTCCGGGTATACAATGCAAAAAGCTTGTAGTTTCCTTTCATAAAGTTAAGCAACCCCCTGACAACCTTTGCTGAGTCATATTTGGTGCAAAATCAGTCCAATTCCAGCTCAAATATTCACTATATCAGCCCGCCTTGTTGCTAATCTGTGAGTTTTTCCCATCTAAAAATCAGTATCAATCTCAGGAAAACATATGGGTCGTGCTGTAGTGTCAAATGTCTGCAGCCGCACTAAGACATTAGGCGTCAATGGAGTTTAGTTTGTGGTGCGGACAATATTAGAAAATGACATTTAAACTTCCTGAAACAATGAATGAAAACTGCTGACGTCGAGGGCCGTGGATGATCCTCAGACAACAGAAGATTGTTCTTACAAAGAGACGGTGGTGTTTGGTTTCAAATGTTTCAACTCTCTGAGCACCACAAACCAAATCTCAATCGCCACCATTTCTCTGGAAAGGCCACTAAAGTTTATGGGACCGAAGAACGAAAGAGGAGGAACATCTCTCTTCGGTCACTCCAACCCGCAATGATGTCGGGTAACCAGTAGACAGTGCTTCATTTAAAAAAGGGTCACAAGCCAAAAGGTTGGAAACAACAACTTTAGAAGTTGCACACACAGAAGAAAAATCTGTCCCTGGTGTTCTGTTTCTGCGTTTGTCAGCGTGTTTTCAGACACTTTAGCCTCAACTGACATTTCATCGTCTTCTGATACAGAATCTGTGAGCAGACACTGAGGCGGTACCGATCCCACAGATCCCAGCTGGGAAGGGAAGGAGCCTGAGAACCAGTTCCCAACTGCATAATACAAGAAAATATCCACTCAGAGAAACAAATCTCACAAGTACGTACGTCCACAATGACATAATGCCACTTCAGAAAGTAAACATTGGGTATTAAGGGGTTGGCACGCAGGCAGCAGGTAATCAATCATTAGGTTAGCAACACGAATGGCACTATGATCTAGGTAGCAGGTAACTTAGAGGAGAGGAGTTCTTCGATATTCACTCAGAAAACAAAAGAGACGGCAAAGAAATCTCAACAGGGTCTGAAGACCCGAGTTTCTGGCCTTTCTCATGCCCTAAAGGGGCGTCGTCACACCCAATGCAAAGAGGGGAATGCTGCTCTCAGTCACTGTTTGATGACCCTGCAACAGGTGATCTCATTCAGCTAAAATGAACCGGAATAAAGTCAAATTAAAATGAATCAAAATCTGTGCATGTGACACAACGTGTAGTCGGACTACAGCTGCAGGATACGGTAAAATACAACAACTATAACTATAAATAAACTGTTAAAATCAGGATAATGTGACTGATCTGTTGAGGTCTGTAGAACAAAAACAAACAGCACAATAAGATTTAGATAATATTTCAATTAATTGTGCAGCTCTAGTCAGTACTTTGTATTTCGTGCACATACAGTTTATGATATATTCTTACTGATAATGTAAAAGCTCCTGAACCTCTCTTTGTGGTTCCTTTGAGTCTCTTTGTGGTTATGGTGTCTCTGTGTTGTTACTATGCGTCTCTTTTTGTCTCTTTGTGGTCGTTCTGACTGAGGCCTCTCGGGTGTTTCTGCTGAACTTCAGTATTTAGTTCTCGCTGCAGATGAAGAGTCGCCGTCTGACTCCCGTTTAACGCTTCCTGCCACAACAGATCCACTCTGACTCTGCACAGACGGATTAATTACTACAGCACAATGTAGGAAACCATACATCTGCTGCTCTGATTATTAATGTTACTGTATGTTAATGAACTTCTACTGCAGCTTCAGCGTGATGAGACACAAATATTGGATTTAGTTGGCAGATATCAGTAATAAGAGATCAGGACAAATCTACTTTTAACTGTACTCTAACTCTAACTTTCCAACAAGAAATGATAACAGTCACTTCACACAGAGGCAAAGGGGCCCAAGGGGTCCAGGGGCCAGTGCCCAGTCGGCCCACTCAGTAATAAATTCATGCTTTTCTGGCCATACTCACTCTCTCCTTCTACTTTGTCGGGGTTTCGGCTCCACACTATCTGCCGCGTGTCCTGCTTTATCTGGAAGGTTCTCCTCTCAGGCCGCTGGGACTTCTTCTGGTAGAAGACGGTCATCACCGTCCCCATCTCCAGGCTGTGGAGGATGCGGGGACCGGCTTCTGTCCAGTCCAGCATCCTGGAGGCCGTGACGGGACCAGGAGCCCCCGAGGCGCCACCGGGGGCCTCCTCGGCACAGCCGTTGAGGCAGCCGCTGAACCTGGCTGCACACATCTTCACTGCATAGCTCCGAGGACGCCTTGCAGGAATGTGTATTTGTTTCTGGGTGAGGATGCTCGTCCTTCAATCACTTACTGACTGCACCGGTTATCCAACATGTCCAAACCGCTGGTGCAAAGAGGGAAATCTGGTTGTGAACCCAAATTCTGCCAATCTCACATATAAACACGAGCTAAAGAGACTTCAGAGCTGGAACAGTGAAATGTCTGAGATGTGAATTATCCTCTGGTCCTCTGGAGGGGGAGTGTATCCCTGTGTTATCCTTTCCAGATGCTTCTGGCAGCACACCAGCGAAATCCACTCGGAGTGAGCTCTCATCACCGCTGGACTCAGGTTTCCACCCTCTCTGTATCCTCCTGCTAGTCCTCCAGTCCACGACAGCAAAGGCGGCACAGCCCGGCTCTTGCTCCAGCCGCCTGCCGCCGCTCGCTGCTCCTGCTGCCGGGGCGGTTCTGTGTCTGTCCCCCGCTCCTGGCTCTGGGGAAATGCAGTCAGTCAAAAGCGACAAAGACGCTGCGTTATGTAACGACGAGTCGGACAAATACCCGGAGGTGGGCGCAGCAGGACGGCGGAGGAGAGGACGGGCATCGGTGTGCGCTCTGAGGCGGCTTCACGGAGAGACGCGCGGACGGGAGACGGCACGGAGCGGCCGCGGCGAGAACCGTGTGCGCTCCCATCCGCCGAACCATTCCTGCTCTCCCTTTCACACACTCCTCCTCCTCCCCGGGCACATTACACCGACAGGAGGCATTACCGTGCGCGGGCTCCCGTTAGCAGAGGCGTGCGGGGTTGTGGCGATACGCGTTAATTGCCTCCCCCCCACCGGTGTCTCCTCCTCGCTGCTCCGCGTCCAGGATCTCTCTGCCTGCGCGTCCCCTCAGCTCCAACGCCAGAGGTCTTCAGAGGAAATTAGGGCTAGCAGACCGGAAAAGCTTGATCAGATTTTTTTTTTGTTCCTATGCTGTAGTATATCTGAGGGAGGATGAGGGGAGGAGGAGGAGGAGGAGGAGGAGGAAGGAGAGGATCGGCAGAGAGCAGAGCGACCTCCGCGGGCCTCCAGGAGATCTGCAGCTATGGAGGACGGAAGAGAAAAAGTTTCTCTCTGGGGGTGATGAGTCGAGTTCAAAGGTCAAGTGTGGTTCAGATTGCAAAGGTCACCGACGAGTCAGAGCCGAAAGAAATACCGGGGTTTACTTTCTGCTGGTTACATTTACATTAGAATGTATTATTATTATTATTATTATTATTATTATTATTATTATAATAGTAATTAAATGTAAAAATTACACAAATTAACCCTTTTCTGTTTTCTTTTGTTTCCAATGACAAATATTAACATTTACACAAAACAGTGAATATAGAAAAATACAAGATGTAGCCTAACAGAAATAGAAAATAAGAGTATATATATATATATATATATACGCTGTGTAGCATTATACTAATTAATAATAATAAATAAGTTAAAGTACTAATAAACTGTGAAAATACTCTTTATACTCACTGCCAGTAAAAGTATATTATTAAGTATTGTCACCTACATTTATTCTTGAATTTCTCCCACAGGGATCAATAAAGGAATATTTTATCTCACAAAAAGTATAAAAAAGTCAAATGTTTCCGGTCAGAGTTTTATTATTATATCTGATGTTTCTGGATTAATATTAATTCTGCATTACTGTTTCATTTTAGTTTGCTAGTTAAAATCCACAGAAATACATCAAATTCTATAAGATCATCACGTGTTTGTAGCGTCGCTGTTGTGTGTGTTATTTACTGACTGGTATCTTTTTATTTATTGATCCATAATTGGCTTCCTCGCTCAGATTTATCAGAGTCATTCTGTTTGTCTCTTCATGTTAGTCAGCTCTGAACTGGGAACATAAAATCAATACCTTGTTATTATTTTACATCATTTTATATCTTCAGATCAACCTCAAACTCTTAGCTTCTCTTTTACACAACCGTATTTATTTACATTTTCTAAATTTATCAATATAAATCAGAAAGATTTAAATATATTAATTAGGTTTCTATTAGCTAATTGTGGAAAAATCTCACTCTTAAAACAAATGTTTCAACAAAAGAACAGTTTCCATCAATCTTTTTGAGTTGTGGCAACTTCTAATGAAATTATGTTCAACAAATGTAATACACTGAGTTCCTCTACAATCAAATATATTTTATATATTGTATATTTAATAACCACTTATTGATTAGGTTACTCATTATTTATGTCAACACAACTCATCAAAACAATGTTTGCAGCTTTTATCCAAATCAATAAATTAGTGTTTTATCTTGCAAACATACATTTCTTTAAGTGGTGACAGTCAGTGCACTCAGTTACTCTTTACACTGTTTATATTTACATATATATATTAGTCGTTTGTTTTTCTTTATTTCTGTAAACAAACTCGATGTCACTGTAAACGAGCGTCACCCCTCGATGATCTCTGGAGCTTTCAGTTCAGTTCAGAGAGAGGAGGACGGAGACGAAGGTGGAGAGGTTGAATGAATTCAGTCAGTTCTTCACAAACATTCAGAATCAACACATCTGGAGATACGAGAGTTTCCCCCGACAGGAAGTGGATGAAACACAACATCTGCAGTTTGAGTATAACGTTGCACAGAAAGGTTGTTCCTCCACAGACTGGCTGCAGTATCACTAACAGTTTGCTGATATCAGAGATCCACATCTGCTCTGAGTGTGAGATTCACCCGAGTGTCGACCACCGCGGCGATGGATGACATCACAGCCCCTCCGTGTCTAATGGGCTCCATGTGTGTGCCGGGTGCACCGCCGCCGGCCAGCAGGCAGCCAATCACGGGCCGAGGAGAACGCTTCTCACATGTCCTGCAGCGGGGAGGCCTGAGGGTGAGGAGGGTGAGCAGGGGGGGAGAGACCATCGCAGGAAAGAGTTGTTCATGAGAGGATGAAGAGGAGGGAATGATTGGACACACATAGGAGTAAATACTGCTCAGTGTCAAAAGAAAACACACCTGGAACAGAGAGGTTGTGAGTTTGAATCCCTCTGAGCTTCAGGAGGACGGTTTCATACTCATCAGGAGGACATTTGTCCACAAATATAAAAGAATTTGAAGAAGTGTGAGAGAGACTTAGATGGTGTTTCCAGTTTCTACTACTTTATATTTCTTCTCCGCTTCATTTCAGAGGGAAACATTAAAGTCTATTAGATGATGAGTTGTTTCAGTCGTTTATAAAGATTTGCAGACTTTATCACTTATTTCACTGCAAATGTAATATTTTTCTAAGTTTTGAACTGATTTTCAAAAAAAGTAGCACAGTCCTGATTAAAGTTAGAAAATGAATAAATAAATAAATAACATATTTTGAATATTTTTAAGTAATTAAGGAATCTTCGAGAGAAAATCGTATCTGATTTTTAGAAGTGAGACATTTTGGATCACAGACATTAACCAAACAAAGGAGAGAGAGAATAAAAGCTCAGGACCCTTTAATAGCTTATTTAAACGTCCACGTCGCTCCGTCAGCGTAGAGAGTGACCGACTGTTACATCATCCATCACTTTTAACTGCTCGCTTGTTGAAACCATCAGGTGACCAACTTCTACAGTGAGATCCACGAGTGCACACACACTGAGGATGGAGACATCTTGTGTCCAGCAGGAAAACTTTAGGAATGAACATTTACATATTCAGAGATTCTGGAGTTCGTAATGAGGTAGAAGAAGGAGATGACTTTTTAATATGGAAATTATACTTTTATAGTATGATTTGTCTTTGGGAGGGAGAGAGGTGATGAGCTCGGTGCACCAGCTCTACCACGACGCCCGGAAGAAACAAACCAGACACACATTATTGTTCCAATCAGACTATTTGTATATATGCGTTAATATATGTATTAATATATGTCTGGAGGGGATCTTTAAGTTAGACAGACGCTCATTTGCTTTCATGTGGGATTTCCAAAGTAAAACACCTTGTAAAGTTCTGTTCATTTAAAGGACCAGTGTATAGAGTAAACTACGGTTTGTCTGTTCAACGTGGCTCCCTCCGTAGATAAAAACGTCTCATTATAAGGTTACAAAAACACAATGATTCATATTTTCAGGTGATTATACACTAATGAAAACATACCTATGGATATTAAATTCCGTTTCTGCCAACAGATCCTCCTGAATGTCACACACTGGACCTTTAACTCTGTTTTATAGACATTAGCTTTGAATGACGCAGGCTGCAGCACAGTGCGGTGTTAACACTGTCAGGGTTCAAACAAACATTTACTGAGAGGCACTTTTGAGAAAGAGTTTCAATAAAAATATAAAATAAAAACAGGAGATGACCACAGAAGAAGGATTCTCTTTAGTTGGCCAGGAGAAAGTTGCTGTTGTTGGAGTTTCCTCTTCGAATCTCTGTGACCAGGTTATGGAGCTTCTCTGACAGCGCCACCTGGTGGGAGAGAACGCCATAGAGAAGATGAGTTTGTGATGTGGGGCCTCTGTGTTTAATGCATCCTGTACAGATTTGGATGCAGATTCTGTGTGCGACACTCACTGTGTAAGAGTCTGGCTCCTGCAGCCTCTTGTGTCGAGGGTGCAGAGTCTGGAGGGAGCTCTGGACCTTTGCTCTAGTTTCTGCAGCGCTGCACAGAGGGTGTGTGACCTAGAAACAGTGGGAGACACATTCAGAAACACTTAACTCCTACACAGTCCTGCAGTATTGTCTTATTTTCTACTGTTCAACGCCTTCCAAAACTTACTTTATCATTAAAACTAGTATTTAAATGTGATCCTTTATGGTTTTAGAAGCAGGATAATAGATCTTATTGCTGTTATTTTTGATGCTGTGGACAGTAATACTTTATCCTGAACATCCCCGAACTCGCTGCTTTGTGATGTGGCTTACAAGCATAGAGAGAGAAAGAGGCTGAATTCAAATTGCAGACTTTATGGGTGTGTCCTCCCCATGAAGTCCAGTGTGTCCAATAAGTCCACACTCTATCCAGACTTCCAGTCCACTTCTGGTGTAAAACCCACCAGACTTTTCTCAGAGGAAAACACGAAAATATGGACGAGCTGACGGAAAGGAAACGACGTGGCGCGGCCCAGCCTCACCTGTCCTTTGGTAAACACTTCCTGGCGCAGGCAGACGACCTGAGCTGGAGTGACGGACACAGAGGAGTTATCGCACCCCAGAGGGTAACAACTCAGAGAGACTCCTGCCTCTGGAGGAGGCTCCACGGCGAGACACTGCAGGTCCAGGAAAGGATGGCCTGCAGAGGAGTGAAGGGAGGGAAGCTGTGAAAACGTTTACAGGCTCACCAGCAGCCCCGGGAGACACCAAGAGAGATGTTTCTGTTCTTACAGTTTCTTACCACTTGTAAAGAAAATAATGGAAACATTTTGATGGGGGTGGTGCCAGTAGAAAGGCTATTGTGTTACCTAAATCCAAAGGGTTTATTTAGCAAACTGTGACTTTTTTAGGACATTTGGGCTTATTTGTTGTCTACAAAAACAACAGAAAATTGTTAATGGATTAAGATTTTTTGCAGATTTGATTTCTGTATTGGGGTAATTCAGCTAATTGAACGCCTAAAAACAATCAAGGTACTTCATCTCATCTGCAAAGATCATTCATTAAAGTTAATATTGCCATAAAGCAGTCCCACTCATTGAATTGGATTTTTCCAACAATGGTTAAAAAGTGTTTCCCAAACTGGGGTATGTGTACCTCTAGGGGGACTTTGGAGTACTGCAGGGGGTACATATTATGTTAATTATTCAATAAGAAGAGTGCAATAGAAAATGTAAATGTATGTTTGATAAATAATATTTTGTATTCAATATTTCTGTTTTCAGTGCAACCTAAACATTAAGATCCTCAGTGAAGCTCAAACGCTTGTTTCTCACTAAACTTTAACTTGCAGTTCAATGCCGTTAGTGTTATTACATAATGACTATAATTTAATTTAAATAAAAGTTTTTCGGTTTATCACCAACCCTTTTGTTAGCATGCACCACCGGAGTGTTTACGCGTTAAAGTACGATAGTGACAGAAGAACAGAGAGAGAAATAAGCGTTTAAGTAGTGAGGATGAGTTCTCACCCTCAGCGTCTATCAGCCTGTAGACATGTTTCCTCCCGGGGACGGTGCTCTTCTCTGGGTCCTCGCTGATCTTCATCCTGGGCCTCCCCCTCACCTCCACCAGCTAACACACACACACACACACACACACACACACACACACACACACAATGGCACCACACAGAACATGAGATCAGGGCACTTGGAGAGGCAGTTAATTGCACTTTTTCTCTTAATCGTTACCTTATAAACGCAGCCCAGCGAGGGCTGTTTGGTGCAGGTGACCAGATGAGTCCCAACACCGACCACATCGATCTCATTCTCCTGAAACAACCCAGAACGTCCATGAAGTCAGGAAAGATGGCAGACAATAAAATGAGCTTCTTGTTCATCATAAACAACCTACCTTCTTGTTAAGCTCAGCCATGCTTTGCTCTGAGATGTTATTGGTCCCAACGATGATCAGTGAATCGAAGGCGGAGATGGAGAACCTGCAGAGAGGGAGATTAGAACCGGACAAATGTTCTCGCTGTAGCTTTTAAAGACGTGCTGATGCGCACACACACAAACGGCGTGGCACCTCACTCACTGCTCGCTGCAGAGTCTGAAGACACGACGGACATCAACCGACTGCCTGCACAGGTCCCCGCTGTCCAGACGAACTCCTACAGGCCGGTAGCCCAGTTCACACAGCGCCAAGGCCACAGCGCAAAAGTTCAACAGACCGCTACTGAAACCAGACACACACACACACACACACACACACACACACACACACAACACACACACACACACACACACACACAATTCAGCATACGATATCAAAGGTTATATATTAGAGATTTAAAACATTAATATAGCATATAGCACAATATAGGATTTATTTCCACCAAACCAGAGTTGGTGATTGTTGGAAAGACTAACAAAGACAGTTTTAATGAGTTTTATTCTGTTTCTGTTCACTTTAATGAAGTTACGATGATCTGAAGGTAAAATGAGTGTTTCTGTCTCTGGAGTCTGGTGGAGAGTGATAGTGATATTACGGCTGTTTGTGGTTAAACTAAAGGTCTATCTCTGGAGGGATCCTTTCCATAATGCTGTCAGACACTGTCAATAACAATCTGAGTCTGTCAGTGGCAGAAACTACTACTGTCAGTGGACTTTGTCCTCTTTAATTAACGTTAGCTTAGGTTGTAGCCCTTTTCATTAAAATATTTACACATTTAACTCTAATTAAGTTTATTACAACCAAAACAGTGTTGATGATTGTTTGAAAGACAAACAAAGATTGTGTTGGTGAGTTTTTGTTGTTGTTTTTTTCCAGTTTGAAGTGTGTTTTATGCTTAGCAAGGTAAAATTATTGGTTTTATTAGTGGGGTCTGGTTGGCCGTAGCATTGTTTTGGTCTGAGATGCTGATTCTCTGGTGCGACATCCAGTGGGAGGTGAATTTAGAATATAAAACCTTTAATAAAACATTTCCTGTTATTGATTAAAAGAATAATGATCAACAGTGAAGGTGTTTGATGGTTGCAGCCCCAGCCGGAGTTCACGGACTTTATAGCAACGTCATTGTGAAAAGTGTTGGTTCAGTTATGAATAGTGATGATGAAATTAAGATTTCTGAAGAACTAAAACCTTCCAACGAACTGTCACTAATAGACTCGTTGCTCCAAACCTGATTGAACTCAGTGTGCACTAGTGACACCTGCTGGTAGAATCGATCTAGTGCAGCAAAATCCTAAAACTCGTGTGCTGCTGCTGCTGTGGTGGAAGAAGTACTTATATAATTTACTTTAGTAAAGCAAAACCACAGTGTAGAAATACTAATAGAAGTGTGCAAAAGTATCAGCATCAAAATTTAAAGTTCAAAGTTCACTTTAAGTATTAAAAGTAGAAGGGGAAATCAGCACTGTTGGCTGATATAGTTCAATACATAAATTACATTAATACTGAAGCATGTGGAGGAGTTAGTTTGAACTACTTTATACACTGTTAGTGGTTATCAAACGTCTGGGTCGGGCAGATGTTTGTTCACATGATAAAAGCCTTAATAGCTACATCTTCAGTATCAAACGTAACGTCGCTACTTACCAGCCAACACTGTAGCTGTCGATCACAGGGAGGAAGTTCTGAGGGTAGGCGATGGCGTAGGACAGAAAGGCGGCCAACTCGCCCTCACGGATCTTCCCATGCTCCGCCCGCAGAAGCTCACACACACGAGTCAACCAGCCCTTCGTCAACGAGATGAAGTCGACTGGATCGGGGTCCCCGTTTACTGCCACGAGAGTCTGAGTGGAAACGGAGAATGGAAATTAACATCGGGAAGAAAGTGTCTTTGAATGCACCAACGGAGAGAGTTTTACAAACAGTATACTTGAAACTGCAGTTCTTATCAATAACAAACGGGCAGCAGAAAGTGTTAAAGACCCACCTTTTTAGTCTGGCTTTCAATAGATTTTTATTTACTTATTTATTTATGTTTTTATTTTTATCATTCATTTATAAAAAAAAAAAAAATCAGTTTTATTGCTTTCTTTTTCTAGTCTGTTTATATATATTTTAGTCTTTTTTGTTACACTGTTTACTTTGTCTACTTATTTATACATTTGTATCTGTTTTATTACTTGCTATATCCTTTTCTTATTCTTAGTTTTTATCTTTTCCTCATCCTGCCTCCGGTTTTAACGTGTGAAGTTCGGTCTCGACCTGCTCTATTTGAAAAGTGTCCTGAGATAACTTCTGTCATGAATTGGTGCTATACAAATAAAATTGAAATGAATTTAATACATTTGCTTGTATGAAAAGTTCTCTGTGGTAGTTTCTCCTACAATAACATGACAACATAACTGATAAAGACATAAAGGCTGTAAAATGTTCACAGTGGTGGATAATGATCGATAATACTGTGCACAAACAGCTGGTCCGGTCCTTTAAGGATGACTGGAGGAGACAACACATACTCACTTGTGGCCAGACCTCCTCCAGGGAGGTAAAGGAAGTGACATATGAGTGCGCCATGGTCCCTGCGACGGGGACCCCAAACAGGAAACCAGCCTGAACGTTACTGGTGAGATCAAACCCTGGAGGGCAGATTGCAGTGTCAGTCTGTGGCTGGGTTCGACATTATCAACGTGCAAATTCAGGACAAACTCAGCCTGAGGAAACACACCTGAATGCAGTTCATTTTGGGGAATTTGGAAATCTTATACATCCTCTTCTTAACCCGTCACCACAAGCAAACATGTACCGTATAAAATGATTAGCTACTTGTAGCTCACACAACCACAAATGTGTGGAAAGAACATGACTGTTTGACAGACCACTCAGCATTCACCTCCGATGTGTGTGTATCGTGAGGCGGTGAGCCCCCCATCTGGTCCCTGAGCCCTCCGGAGGCCCATTTCCAGCAGCTTCCTCCTGGGGCCGGCCGCCAGGCGGAAACGGGCAGCATTACTGCACACCAGACTGGAAAACAGAGGAGAGGCAGAACAGAAACAGGCTGTTGTGTGTCTGGAGCCAAACTTTTGTTATAACAGTGTTATAAAATGCACAGTCTGGGCTGAAAGCTGAGTCAGGATTGAAGCCAATGTGAAATACGGCACTGCTGTAACTTTAATGTGGGTCTTTAATTTTGAGAAAACCTTAATAATTTGATTCAGTTTAACTTGATTTCAAACACACAGGTTCATATTGAATTCCCTTCTTTAATAACCTCTTTAAATGTGCATTCTTCATATGTAGAAAACCCTTTTTTACACACTGTACAACAGTATTGTTTCTTGCTACAGTACAAGATACTTACACTGAGCAGCATCAACACAAGAGGTCATTTATTTTATGACCATCATTTACTAAATGAACATCATGCTGTATGAAACTAGAGACTGAGACCATAAACTCATTAGGAAACTGTTTACTGTCAGCTCATTTCTCCATAAGACTGAATGGTATCAGTGTTTTATTGCAACCAATGGAGCTTCCCCCTGCTGGTCAATACACAGAATGCAGGTTTAAGACACTTTACAGTTGGTTTCACTTCACTTGTTATATCATAATGTAGTAATAACTACTGAGTACTCGTGGGTCAGCCCACACCCATCTTCAAACTCAAGATCTCTCCACAGACAATCAAACACCTGCTAAAGTACAGACCATGACCTCAGCGGTGCTCAGCCTCCAGGAGCACAAACACAGACTCACAGGTGAAAACAACACCAGACAGATAATACTCCATTACAAAGGAAGGACATGAGTCCAACAGTAGCTGTGGACCATGAAATACCAAATATAGAGCACTAAAATGATTTTAATTCATTGATTAGTCGACCAAAGGATTCAAATCTAGCCTTTTGTGCTTTCCGCAAGTTTTGCAGCCACAGAAGTTTCTCCTACACACTTTTGTTTGTTTAATATTATTGTAATTGATTTTTTAAGATAATATTTTACAGCATGGACAGCGTACAGTAAAGTTAGACAACAGGAGAAAGAGTAGTAACATTCAACACTGGTCCCGAAAATGTCACAAAGGGAACTATATCAACATTTCATTCCACAACCCTGTGATTCAAAACAACCTTGAATCATGAATGAATCATAGGTGTGTTGGCTGTTACCTGGCGTAGTTGACCAGACACAGTAAACTGGTCTCCAGCAGCTGAACCACAGCCAGCGGACCTGCCACCTCCATCAGAGGCACCTGTAGATGTGTTGGACACGTAGCACAACAGGAATGAGCGATATCTCGGACGAAACGATTGTCCCGTTAGTAAAATGTGTCAATATGTGTAAATAAACCAACATTAGTAAAAGGAACTTGTTCTGTAAGTAGTTCTCTTACTACTGGGATCAAAACATTGTCTGAAGATCAATTCAGAGGCTGTTCTGTGAATAGTTTTCTGTTCAACTTCTGATCAAACCATATCAATTTCAGGCTAAAATGAACATCTGTTAGCCGTACTCGCTCAGGTTACTCCACCCCCTCCCTACACACAGCGCCCTTGACCTTTGACCTTCAGCCCTGCAGCTCACCCTGGCAAACACCACCGTGCCCTCTGGGACGGAGCGGAGCATGACGCCCGAGCAGTCGAGGCCTCGCAGGAACTGGAAGAAGGCGGGTTCGGTGGCCGGGGGCAGGACTGAGCGCAGGAACTCCACATCTGGATCCACAAAAACACAAGAGTTAACAGCTGGAACGCTGTCAGCGAGCCCGACAACAGAGGGCATCCTTCAACCTACAACACATGTGCTCTTACACAATCCTCCCCCTCCCCCCCTCCCTCACATGGCTCCACACACACACACACACACACACACACACACACACACACACACACACACACACACACATTAAGAGCTAAATCTAATAACTTTCTGGACAGTTAATCTAATCCGACAGCTACCAACAGACTGCTCCGATGTGACTGCGTTAAAGTTTAGACAACTTGCCGAATACAGTTCTGGAAAGTAACTAATTACTTTACTGAAGTACAGTTTAGTTTCAGGGTTTCTTTTTAAGACGTTTAAAGAACTTTATGAATGCAATTTAAAGCTTATTCTACATCCATACTGCCAAAAAAAGTATGAGGGATTTGAAGGGAAATGGATATTGGTTCCATGTTGGTTTCATTGTGTAGTTGTTGGATGATCAATACCATCATAGAAATAAGTCTTTACTTGAGTATTTTAAGATCCCTTAATTGAGGTAAAATACCAATAAAACTGTTTAAAAATACTCCATTAGAAGTAAAAGTCCTTCATTGAAAAGTAAAAGTACTCAGTCTGCAGAGAAATGTCCCCTCAGAGATATATTATACATTAAGTTATTAGAGTAATATCACTGATGGATCAGTAGCCTTTCACTGTTTCTGTACATAAGGTGTGTGTGTGTGTACCTACAGTGTGATGTTTGAATGATGTCTGTACAGAGTTTGACACTAGAAGGATGTTTTCATGAATCTGCTGAGAGTGGAAAGTTTCTCTGAGCTCATTGAGAATCAGATTTTAAGGGGGCGGGGCCTACGAGCATGATTTGTGACATAACAAATAGTTTAGAGGTTAGTCCTGGTCCAGTATGTAACTTATACAAGTGTAGAAACATGAAGCCACCAGTGCTCAGACACTGAGGATGGACTTTACAGTGTGCAGCAGGAAAACTTTAGAGATGAACAACATTTACATATTTAATGATTCTGGGACTTTTGAATGAGTAGATGTCTTTTAAAGGTTTTAACGTGGAATTTATACACTGCTATTTCGTAGAGGTAGTTGAGTATTTCCAGTTTTTGTAGCTTTATACTTGTAACTTTACCTCATTTCTGAGGCAAATGTACTTTATTACTCCACAACATTTATCTGATAACTATAATCTGCACATTCAATATACAAAAATTTCATTACAAAAGATAATTCTGCACATAATGCGTCAGGCAGTAACTCATTACAAGTAATAATATTACTTCCCCCAGTAACTAGTTACTTAGCCCTCCAAAGAATAATTAGTTACAACATTACTTTTGTTTGCACTCCACTATCCAATCCCATCCTTGGATTAATTCTGTAATATTATATATTATATTATATATTGATATTATATAATATATATAAGTCTTTATTTTAGGGGAGAAGAGGCACAAACTGGGTGAGGAGCAGCAGAAAAGTTATATAACTAGTAGTGTAACTAATTACTGTTGGCAGGGAGTAATCAGGAAAGTAATATTACTTTTTAAAAGTAAACTTTTTTGAATAACCAGCCCACCACCGGTCACAACAACCGTTGAAAACATGTGTTTCCAACCTGTTGCACTGTTCCAACCCTCTGTGCCATGCAGCTGTATGACCCTCCTCTGTACGCAGTGTGTGCCGTGTTGCTTCATGTGCTGATCCTTACAGCACACAGGAGATTACGGATTATTCCCTGAGTGCTGAAGTTCACAACTAAACGTCAAAGTTCGCTGAAATCCTCCTCCTGCACTCACGTTTACTCCCTGAACCCTGACAGGAGGAGGTTGCGCGGTGGACTATTGCGCAAGCACGGGCCGGAATGCGTAAAATGAGTTCGGAGTCAAACAATGTCAAGTTGACCGTGATGGAAAAATAACATGTTGTGAAGTTTTTCAGAGCTCTGCTGGTGTTTAAATAGCGAGGACGGGGGGGAGGACTCACTCACTCACCTTCGTCTGTGAAGCGAAAGCTGCGCACGAACAGCAGGCAGTCGTGCAGCCCGGCGAACAGCGAGAAGCCGCCGCCGAACGGGTTGTCCCTGAAGAAGAGCTCGAAGGCGGCGGGCTCCTGGTGCCGGCCGGCCCGCCAGTACGCGTACGCCATGGTGAACTGGTACAGGTCCGTGAGCAGCGGCGGCACCCGCTCCCGGATAGACCGCTCCATGACCCCGCATGTGTCGCTGCTGGACGGCGCTGCCATGTTATTCAAGACCTCTTGGGTTTCCAGGTTCACTGATGCCGAGATCTCTGGGACTTGCAGTTCTCCAAAAGCCCCACTGACTCCTTCACCTACTGGAGGAGAGACAAACTCCCCCACAGAGCAGAGAGAGAGAGAGAGAGAGAGAGAGAGAGAGAGAGGAGGCGTGTGCTGGAGCTGCAGTTCCAGTTTCAGATCCACACTTCATTTGTAGTCCACTTACTTTTACCTTTCTCCAGGGACAGATGCTCATGTTGTCTTGTGATGGGGGAGGAAGAGTTCCTTTACATAAGCACAAATACTACCACAATGTGAACATACTCCACTAATAAAAGTCCTGCCTTTAAATCCTTACTTAAGTATTATCAGCTACAAGTGTTTGTTGCATTTGACTGCTGTAGATCCCCTCCAGACATGTATGAAGACATATATTCTTATTTTTTTAACTATAATTTCCACATTAAAATCCTTAAAAAGTCTAATCTACTTATTCCACCTGATTCAAATCTGATTTTCTGTGAGCACAAACTTTCCACTCAGCAGATGAATGAAAACATCCTTCTAGTATTAAACTCTGTACAAACATCATTCAAACAGCACACTGTAGGAACAAGAAGAAACACTACTTTATACACTGTTGGGTACTTTAATCAGCAGTAGCTGTCCTGTGAGAGAAAGTTTCTCTAAAACATCTTCATAAACTTATAAAAAGTGGAGTTTTAAACAGTTTATTTAAGTTTATGAAGACTGTAAAGACTGGGTGCTGGATCCTAAATGTGTTAAATCATAAAACGAAAATACTAGGATGAAACTTTTTAATATTTTCACCAATATATTCAAAAGTTAAATGGGAGTTTTGTCCTATGAACAATTCAGAATCACCAGATTTGGAGATAAATTGTTCTCATTTGACAGGAAGAGGATGAACAATTATAATCTGAGAACAGTCACAGTACAAGACATGTTCAGTTACTTTTATAAACAGATGCATCTGAACTTTATCCTAACCCTTGTGTATCTTCGAACATATGCCATACAAGTATGTAAATGTGTGTGTGCTTCTGTTTGCACACTCGCTCGAGGGATGAAGAGTATTCTGAACTGAATTTAACTAAAGCTGTCGTTAAGTAGTTCAATATTTGCCTCTGAGATGTGACGGAGTACAAGTATAAGGTGGTATAACATGGAAATACTCACATTTTTTTCAGTACTTAATATACTTAATGTAGTAAATGTACTTAGTTACATTCCACCACTTGCAGAAAATGTCTTTGCGAACCTAATTCAGTTAATTGGTTAATTAGTTCGATCATTTAAACAATCATGAGGTGATGTATCAGTCTGATAAATGTAAAGGAGTAAAAGTATAAATGTAATAAAAAGTAGAATATTTGAGTAAATATACTTTAATAAAAGGTCAATAAAGCAACAGAACAAACATTCAGAATATTTCTCTTTATTCAACAATCTCACATTCAGTAAATTATTGTTATGAGTTTTGTGTTCAAGTTTTCCAGAAAGAGTTAAGTATTATTTTACTTTACCTTTTACTCTTGTAGTTGTTTTCTTTCTCTTGTATTTCAGAAACATTAAATACTATTTTCTATGCAAGCACACCAGTTCATTTATTCTGCAGATTTAATTATGTAAAGAGCCGAACTCTGTATTTCACTCTGCTGTATATTTAGTAAAGGAAACACTGTAGTTGTGTTTTTATAAATATGATATATCTCAGTGGTTTCCAACCTTTCTCCTGAGTAAACCGACGTCCCCTGAATGGATATTTTCAATAATCCAGACTTTAAAATAACAGATTAATTCAGTTTTCTTCACAGAAATGAATGACATGTTACGATAAAGCAGTAAAGCTTTGGTGACCCCTAGACGAGAACAGAAATCCCTTCACGTGTAACGTTTGCTGAATTTACAAGAAGGCCCAAATAATAAAGAATCTGTAGCAGTCGGCGTCTCACAAAGTGTATAAAGTTTCTCCTCACTCAGTAACTCTCAAACCTGTGTGATATTCTAAGGGAGTCTGGGGATATTAGTTGAAACAGTGTGTTCACAAACACCTGCTGCTTATCTTTGCAGGTAATCGGACGCATTTCCACTACAAAAGAGCTCCTCCGTGTTTGAATGAGCCACGGTGGTCGTTTACACTGGTATTTACAGCAACAGGTTCTATTGTCTCTCAACCACTTTATGTTTACGCTTTAATGTGTTAATCCTTTCAGACTTTTCCCTAATCTTTGCTTTTTTTATTGTGACAAACTTTATAGTTAAACCTCTTCAGGACCATAAATATGAAGCTAATGAAGGAGGACAGGAGGACACATCGGCCCAGGCTTCAAACAGGAGTAGAGACGATCCGATACCAGAACTTTGTGTATGAGTGATGCTGAGTACCGACCCGTATTAACAACCGTAGGCTACTAAGCCCGTGAGGGACAGTGCTGGGTAGTAGCAGGGTCCTGTTTCGGGGCTCGTGTATTACGTGGAATCGGGTCGGTGCACAGACAACGTTTTAGTCAGGCATCGGTATCGGAACAACTCTAAAGCACTCGTCTCTCCTCACCGGCTCATCTGGACACATCTGGACACATCTGGACACATCAGAGGATCCGTACAGTAGAGGTGATTATCCCGGTTCTCCCTGCTGCTCGCCGCCCTCCACCACAGTGGGGAAGCATCCTGCGAGCTCATTGGTCAGCGTGTGCTTCCGTCCCCCCCAGAGAAAGTGCGTGGGCTGTCCCGATTGGCCGTCCTCCTGAGCGTAAACGAAGAACGGGCTGAGCTCGATGGCCAGGGCCGACCTGACCAGGCCGACCCCGCCTCCTCGCTCTGAGCAGGGGTGGTAAACCCGCCCGCTGACAGGATGCATGTACAGCGCCTCCGGGAGGAAGGGGACGGACAGCTGCTCCGCCCCGCCGCAGTACGACAGCAGCTCCTGGTCTCCCAGCAGGTGGGTGAAGACCACGGGACGGTCGTCGCAGCGCAGGAAGTTCCTCTCCCTGCCGCACAGGGACAAGTAGGGGAAGTCGTCCTCGTAACGACCGCTCTGATTCGAACGCAGCCGACTGAAGAAGAAGACCAGGAACTTTTTGTCTGGTGATAGAGAAACAGGGATGAAGAGGAGCTGCTGAGCAACAACAGACAATGAAATATTTGTTTGGGATTATACACCAAGATTTCTGTCTTCTGTTAGCAACCAAGCTGAGAGCCACAGAGACAGAGCTGCAACGATCAGTCGATTAGCTGTCAACTGTTACGTTAATCACCGAGTATTTTGATTAATCGATTCATCGTTTTGAGTCATTTCTCAAGACAAAAAAATGTCCAAATTCTCTGATTTCATCTTCTCAAATGTGATGAAGATATCTGAAGACGTCACCTTTGGACTTTTGGGACATTTTTCACAATTTTCTGACATTTTATGGACCAAACAACTCTAATCCATTAACTGAGAAAAGGATTAATCACCACTAGTTGCAGCTCTAGTCTCTCATTGACAACAACCTCATCTTTACAGAGTGTCAAATGCAGTTTTAAAGCCTTAATAATATTGATTTACTGGCGGTTGATTAAGATTATGTGGTGCATTCAAGTTATCACACAGCAAACCTGATGCTTAATATTCCAGGAGAGGATTATTGAGGCCGTCGTACTACACTGTTTGTTTAATACACGTATAAAACTGTCCAGTGGTGTATTAAGAGCAGTCAGTTATTTCTAACCACTGATCACTGTTTTTAATTTCTGTTTGTTAATCCAGTTTAGTTTCAGTTGGTTTACAGAGTGAGTTTGTTCGTTTCAGTTGAGTTTCTTATTATAAAATGAGGAGTATTCACAGTACAAACACATTAACACATCCCAGTCTCAATGAACATACGCACCAGTAACTCCTTATGTTTGTTTTGTTGACAAAGTTTGGATTTTATCCGACATTGTGATTCACGGTTAGTGGAAATGATCATTTTCACGTCACAACTTTCATTTTCACTGAAAAAAACTTTTAAAATCATGATGATGTGACATCTGTTGGAGCTACAGTGCTTCATTATAAGGTCATTTTATGTATTTATATGCATTTGATATGAATATCTCAACTAATTGTGCAGCTTTTGTGTATATTTGTATTATATTTTAGTTTTGTAACACACAATATAGTTGTTTATAATGTTTTGTTTGGTTTGTACTTTTATTTCAGTTCACTAAAATGTTTTTTTCACACCTAATTTTAGCTTTTAAATGTTGTATAACATATAATATTATTATTATTATATATAATAACTGTAACTCCACCTGACAAACACTTTTACCTTTGAAGCAGGTGACAAAGTTCTTCACTTTGGTGTCATCGAGGAAAAGCTGCAAGTTGAGCACAAACAATGAACATGTTAACACCAGCAGCAGAACTTTACACTGATACCTGTGTGAGCTCATACACTCACCTGTCCTTGGTGGTCAATGTAGTAGAAGTACTCTCGGATGCGCGGTTCCGGGCTCTGGCCCTGGATGTATGTAGCGGTGGTTCTGGAGGCGGTGTGGCCGGCGGGCAGGCAGCGCAGAGCGGCCACAGCTCTGCAGCTGAGCGCCGCGGTCCGGAGAAACAACATGGGCGACGGTTGTTCCGGAACAAACAGTTTCTATTACACGAGCGAGTGACACAACTTCAGCTGTGTCCTCATGTTATTGTTTACAGCCGCATCAGAGGAAGAACCCGGAAGAGTTTCAGTGTGGCACCAGCGTCGGTTTCTGACTACCGCCGCCTGGTGGACACTGGTGGTACTTACATCCATTACAGAGCATTAAAAAGGTGGAAAAAGATTAAAAATGAACAAATAATAATAATAATGTAAAATGATAAGAGTTCAGGGTTTACATACAACTCTTTTGAAGAGACAGTTTTATTCGTCCTGTTTTCATCAGGTTCATTACAGGTGGTGGGTCAGTGTTTATGGGACACTGTTCTCACTACAGAGGATTGTTTTATGCAGTGTTTCGGGTGATTCGACAACAGTTTACTACACTTTTCTGAACCTAAAATACAACTAATATTTACCAGGACAACATAGATTATTTCCAGGATATTTGGCCGTTTTAATAAATTGTTTCCAGGACATGTGGGAACCTTTTGATGTTATTTTTTTTTCACCTAAAGCATAAAAAGTGGTGATGATGTTTGTATTTATTGATAGGCGATTGGAGACATTCCTGCCATCCTTATTAAATAAAATGTTATGCAGTCAGACTGATACAGATCTCTGTTTAGTGACACAATCTGGCTAAATGTATGTATTATCATAGATGTTGGATCATTTATCAATATGTTTCAAGACAAGGTGTCCAACTGTCACATTTCAACAAGATGAAATCAGTGATAAATGATTTTACGGAAAACAAAATGATCTCCCCTCTCCCACTTTTGTTCTTACTGATTAGTAGATATTCCACTCAATGCAACAAATTGGCCAATTGTCCTCATTTATGATCAAATATATACTTTATTAAAGTGCAAACTGTTACCAAAGTGCATTAAGAAGTAGAAATTGTTTGTACAAACAGAACTTTATGTTCCAAAGATACCAAATATCAGGCAAAGTGTATATCTGGAATATTATTTCCATTTGATGTAATTGTGCAGCCATAAAAAAAAGAGGTCTTAGGGATTGAATACGTCCCTCAATGTTAACATAAAGCTTCAGAGAATAACTGGAACAAACTTATACACAATATTAATTATATTCACTGTCAGACAGAGTGGAATAAACCTGAGTTTTCCAACTATATACTGGAGCTGTGTGTTTAATTATTCACCAATAATTTAAGATTTTGTTTAATTAACATGCTACTAACAAGGATGGATTATCCTCCCAAAGCAGACCAACATTAATATTCCCTCTCCACATAATACAATACAAACAAGAACACATACGAAAACATCCTGCAACAAAAAAACTCTGCTATTAAACATGTATATAAATTAAAATGTATTTAAAAAGGTTCAATGTGTAACATTTAGGAGAAATGGAGCATAAGATGGAGTATAATGGAGTATAATCACCTGAATATTGTGTTTTTTGTACCCTAGAGTGAGACGTTTTTGGATCGACTTCCATGGAGTCCGCTGTGTTTCTACAGCAGCCCAGAAGGGACAAACCACACACTGGCTCAAGATAGGAGTGTTCGTGTTTTTCCCTGCGTTAAATCCTGCACGCTGGACCTTTAACCTGCTTTACTAATATTAATTTAGCCTTAATAAAAACAAAAATATAATAAAAAGTAAATACTGGATGGTACAAAAAGTCTTTATTTACATACATGTGCAACATGATGTGTTATTTATTATTGTTTGTATTGTTATTTACACCAACCTGTAGTAAAAAAGGACAATAAAGATTATTAGGCCTCAACTTAGATTCTTAATATTAAAAAAAAGGGTCAGGATTTTTAAATAAAGACTAAACTATTAATCATTTATTAAAATAATTAATTTTTCAGTCGAATGTTTGTTTAATCAACCAGCTGCTGGAGCTCATATATTATAATATAATATCACAGGCCTGCGACTTGGTGAGCTATAAACAGTGAGAGCAGCCTACATGTTTTATTGTGCGAGAGTTAATTCCAAGCAGAGAGAGAGATATATTGTCGAGTGAACACAACGGGGCTCTTCAGGGAGCCTCATGTAAATCTCTCGGCTGATAAAAGAAGCACATAAACAACAACATTCCTCTACAACACAGCGACAGACAGACAGACGGAGAGACAGACAGGCTGCTGCTGCTGCTCATGTTAAAAAGGCCAACACCCCCTAAAACGGTGCAAACAGAGGCTTCTTCTTTGGGACTGACAACACACAAAGCGGCTGATTCAGACCAGCTGCTAATTACAGAAGCTCGTTTCTGCCAATGAAAGAAAAATAAAAAAGATTCTGTAAGTCATTATATTATATCTATATTATACTTAAAAAAATATTTTGAGATACTAATTCAAGATTTTATGAGGGTTTCTCATTATAATGACTCATATGATGTTTTCTCCCCTGTAATATTGGCAGGAATAGGCTTCCGTAGAGAAATGACTTGAAAATAATAACTTTGTGATATTAAGTGATTATTTTGTGACACTAATTCAAAATATTAAGTAACTTTCTTACTATTTTGAGATACTAAGTCAATATTTTGATAATATTTCTCATTATAACGACTTGAACAATTTTTTTTTCTCGTCATATTGGCACAAATGGGCTTCCATATTTAATGACTTCTACTTCACCCAAAAAGTCAAAAATACTGATAAAGTCATTATTTTGAGATACTAATTCACAACACTGAGCTACTTCATTATTATTTTGAGATACTAAAAGAATATTTTGATAAAGATTTTCATTATAAATACTTACACAATCTTTTTTTTTTTCCACCGTCATATTGTCACAAATGGGCTTCCATAGAATAATGAGTTGAATTCCATCCACAGCTCTGAACGATCCACCTACCTCAACCTGTTTCTCCTTCCTCCTCCTCCTCCTCCTCCAGGTAGGGTGGAGCTGTTTCTACCTGCACTCACACACACACAAACACTCACACACACCGGAGTGAGTCAATAATGGCGTTATACTTTTAGACTTTGGAGCGTTTTCATCGACTTATATTCACCGTAAGTTCATATTTGACTGTTGACGCTCGAACTGAGTCTGCGCACTAACGTTAGACAAACGCTAATTAATGAGCTAACGTACCATGAAGGCTACGGAGCGACGTTTCTCTCAGTTTTTTAATCACTTTTTAAACTACAAACCTGCTCCGACATTAGGTTTATAGATCATTCTTGTTAAGAAAAGTGTCTTTTTGTTTTGTTTTTCATTAAAAACCGGTCTTTAATGCTGTTAATAACGCGATTTATGCTGTTTAACGTTTTTACGTGAAGCGAACGTCAACGGTTTCTCCTCGAGGACACTTACGTTGACGTAAAAAGAAAAAAAAAAAAGAAGCTAAAATTATTTAAACACCTGTTTGTAGTTCAAACTGTTGATTTGTAGTTTTTAACTTGAACCGTGTCTGTGTCGTCCAAAGGTCGTTTTCTTTCTGAGTCCAAACTGTCGGTTTCGGTCGGTAGGTATGAGTCAGCCGCCCCGTTCAAACCGGGGCCACCGGGAGAGGAACGGAGACCACCGACACTACCGAGACTCACCGGATGACCGACGGGCATCACCCGACAGGTGAGTTTAATATTAAAGATCATTAAATGTGTCCTGAGTTCATAAATGAATGTAGGGGAAATATAATATATGTATTTATATTTAATAATCTTTAATAGTTTTCTTTTAAATGATGTAAATAAAATAAATATCCATAAAGACATTGAAATGTGTAACGTTGTATTCCTTAATAACATAATAAATAATGTTAAGATACTGCAGCAGCTCCAGATACAACACAATACATAAGAAAGTACACATTAAATAAATAAAGATGTAATGAAAATATAAAATAATAGAGTTAAAGAGTTATTCATAATCATGTTTAAGGAATTATATGTATATATGTATGTAATAAGTGTTGTTAACTGGTTACATAAACAGTAAATAGAGTCTTATAATACATAAATAGGTGTCATATGAATATACAGTTTATATTAATCCAGCACCACTAATATAAAGTGTATTACTGTCACAGGTCATATTGTAGGAGTGTATCTTAAATTCATGAACTGCTGTCATTGTATCTTGTTTATTACTTTTTTTATTGCTTTTTGGAGTAGATGAGTGACTTTTCAGAGTTTGTTTCAGTCCTCAGCACCTCCAGCATTGTAATAACACTCAAAATCATAGCAAGTGGCAAAAATGTCCTTGAGCTTCGGACCATTTTGTTTTAAGAATATAATATTTTGCAGGTGTAATTAACAAGTTCTACTAAAACAGTTGCTGTAAAGTGGAATTGGAGAGTTCATGAGCTCAGTATTAGACCTGGTACTGATATCTGTGCATCAGCAGCAGCACCCAGAGTCCATGTTGAATCATTTTCAGTAAAGAATACAAACTAAAACATGGAAAATGTTCAGTCGTTCCACATTATGATGAAACACCAGCTATATAAGTGTTAAATAACTTCCTCATTGTGTTTGTGTTTCTATGTCCCAGGTCTTCCTCTCGACCCCCATACTACCCCAGAGAGGCCGACTCCCCTCCCAAACATGTGCGGGAAACCCCTCGAGTGGAGCACCAGGAGTCCAAATGCTCCAACGTCTGCTCCAGGAGAGGTGAGTCGGGCTCAGAGTGGAAGTATCTCTTACTGCGTCACGGGGGCGGGGGGGCTGGACTTTGGTTTCACTGCAGCTCAATCCTTCCTTCTGCGAACACCGGACAAACCGGTTTCACTGTGTTTACGGTGCACGCCTCTTTTCCCTCAGAGTAACACTGACGGAGGAGAAAGCTGCTCCTGACCACTCTCATGTACCTGCTGCAGGAACAATAGAGCTGATCCTCTGGAATGTTAATAACACAGTATTAGAACAACAACTATTTTAATTATTTATCAAGATTTAGCTCCAGCTTCTCAAATGGATTCACTTTGTGCTGTTTTCATATCAGTGTTAATGTCATTTATTTGAGTTTAAAGATGAATTGTTTGTTAAAATAACTATTAATTGCAGTCTTTTGATTTAAGAATAGAATAAATCAATTACAGAGTTTGAAGTTTTTATATATTTTTTGCACTGGATTGATTCTTTATTGTCACTGAGACACTGAATGAACAGTTTCTTTCTCTGTAACAACCTCCTCATGTGGAGAGAATAAAAACTAACTGTGCCTGGACCTCCATCTGATTTTGTGATCTCATCCCTCGTCGACTCCCGCAGGCATCGTGCTGATCTGCTCCGTCCTGACCAACGCTCTGGTCCTGATCTGCGTGGTCGCAGCTCAGCTGGTGTCATCGGGCATGTCGTCGGCGAGCGCCATGGGCGGCTTCGACATCAACTCCAACTTTAACCTGCAGGGCACCGAACTGGAGAAGGCGCGAAGGTTGGACAGCCAGTACAGCCAGATGAGGGCGCCGGGCATCTACGGCGGCATCGCCTTCAGCCTGACCCTCGGGGTCCTGTCGCTGCTGTTTGTGGTCGCTGGGAACAAACCGCCTCACCTGATGTCCCGGAAGCTTCTGTTCGGAGCGCTGGTGTTCCAGGCGGTGGGCGCGGTGGCGTACGTGGTGGCCGTGGGGCTCTACCTGCACTTCATCATCAAGGTCAACTCCACGGACGTGTGTCAGGAGCGGGAGCGGCTGTACGCGCGGTCCGGCTACACCTGGATGAACTGCGACGTGGGCGGGGCGGACGCGGGCGTGGCTCTGTTCGGGCTCATCACCGCCATCCTGTACGGCGCCGGCACGGTGCTCACCATCCAGACCATCCGGAGAGTGAGGCGCTACCTGCAGGAGCGAAAACGCAGAGCGGAAGAGAAACAGCAGGCCCGAGGCCGCCCGCAGAGAGCGCCGCTGAGGGCGGAAACCACCGCTGTGTGAGGGGGGGGGGGGGTGAACATCAGCTGGTTAATGTTCAGAGCATCACGAAAAGAGCACAGTAATCATTCCTACAGGAGCCTGATGTGGACAAAAGGAGTGAGTTTACAAGAATATGACATTTTTATATGATTCCCACTACGGAGCCCCTGAAAGGGAACACTTGCATTGATTTCCAATACTTTGATCCATACATGGATGTATAATAAATGATGTGTCAGTGACTCATAATCAGTAAACTACTCTGATATCTCTCCTGTAACCTCTCGGTAGTTGAGCGGGTCGGCGGAGGAGACGCAGTGTCAGCAGTTTGGAGATATTTTAAGCAACCTTTACAACAACAACATTTATGGACATAAAAGTAGCAGTAGGTGACTTTTATAAAGATTCACTTTTGTTTCCACTATATCTGAACAAAAACAAGAAGCAGTTGATTGTCTCGTTCTCTGGTCATCAAACCGCTTTGGGTCGGTGGTTTGAGGCTTCGGGCTTTGTGCTGCAGCTAATATTGAAGTCACACATCCACAGTTTCTGTGTCTGTCAGATAGAAGAACCATTTTTTTTTGCACAACCACGTTTCCAGCCTGGGTTTAAAACAGACTTGTAAAAAAACAAAGAAAAGCTGCCTTTAACTTTCTTCTGTTCCTGACAGTGTTGATCATTGTTCTCTTATTGCGGGTCCACATGAACTGTTCAAGGTCCGGTGTGCGACACTGAGGAGGAGCTGTGGGCAGAAATGGAATATAACATTCGTAGGTATGTTTTTATTTGTTACCTGAGAATGAGACGTTTTTATCTACAGTGGCCCAGAAGGGACAAACCAAACACTGGCTCTAAATTAGGCCGCCGTAGTTTCCCCCCACACGCGTGGAAGGCTGATCTGTATTCAGTCCTGCAACTTCCTCGCTTCACCCTCCGCTTCCGAGCGCGAAGGAGAAACTACGGTGGCCTCGAAACATGCAAAAAACACAAACCTTATCTAGAATCACAGTTTGGTTTGTCCCTTCTGGGCTACTGTAGAAACATGGCAGACTCCGCCTCTGTATTTTAAGTTATATTTTAGTAATAATGAAAACATTATATTCCATTCCTGCCACTGAATGTGACACACTGGACCTTTTTAATTACTTTAATTATTAATTATATTCAGCAGCAATAACAGCCGCACCGCACTGTCCCTTCTTTAAGTGTATCACAGGTTAGTTGTGTGACTTTACCTGGTTGAACACAAGTTATTGCCGCCTGTGGGTATCACTGAGACGTTAAATACTCCACTCATGGTGCTGTTATATTCTATATAACATATATATTATATTCTGTGACTGTGCTCGTGGTTGGATCAGTAAACTGAACCGGTTCATAACCAGTTAATAACCAGTTAATCACTAACTTGCTTTGTGATACAGGTCTGAACTGTATGTTGGATTTGTGTGAACTCAAAAGGGATTAATGTTTTTAACTGTTTACTAGTTTTAATTAATGTATTTTTATATCAGAGTTTTTGTCTTTATAATGCAATTTTGATACATGAATGTATCCACTCTTAATTAAACCTCCAGCAATGTGATTCTATTCGAGACTGTTTCTGTTTCTGAGTCTGAAGTCTGATAAACAAACCAGCCAGAAGGAGGCAGCAGAACTCTGCCGTGGTCCCCTCCATGGTCCCCGCGGTTGTCCCCGCGATTGTCCCCGTCCGTGTCCCCTCCAGAGGCTTCCTGCCAGCCATGACATCACTGCTGCCCGTCCCCTCTGTGCTGTCACACAATGGGGGCCACACATACACAGAAGGGCACAGCAGTGATGTAACCGTGGGGACTGTTTCGGTGAAAACTTAATTAGCAACAAAAGAAATTCTCCAGAGTTGAGGTAATTACCCCCAAGTTCTAATTTTACCCTGTCCGATAAACACAATGCGGCGATTGTAACCCAGCAGCACAAACGAGTGCGAGGTCGTTGCTTGTTGTTGTGCAACTCTTTATACATTTCGTCTTTTTAAAACCTTTAAAAGATTTAGCAGCACTAGAGATTTAGTTTCATTATTAATTCATCTTGAGCCGAAAAGATCAGTTAATATACACAGAAAATTAAAGGACTAATATTTAATGCAGAAACATTCTCTTGTTACAGCTTTTTAATTGTTATTATTGGTGCTTTTCTTTGTTGTATGTGATTAAAAAAATGACAGTTTGAGGTTTTTTGAAAGGTTGGTCGAACACAAAAAGCTATCTGAAGGCATCAACTTGGACTTAAAAAGGTCCAGTGTGTAACATTCAGGAGGATCTACTGGCACAGATGGAGTATAATATTCATAGGTATGTTTTCATCAGTGTATAATCACCTGAAAATAAGAAACGTTACCTTACAAAGAGACGTCTTTTGTATGTTTTGCGTCCACCGTAGTTTCTCCGACACACAGCTGTATTTAAATGGTTAAAATCTGTAACTAAATCCCACACACTGGCCCTCAAGTAGTTCTGGTATTCTTCACTTAATCTTTATTTGAAGGCCTAAATAAATCTGATGATTGTCTCTATTAATTGTTTTGTATATAAAATGTCACAAAAGTAAAAAAAAAAAAAAAAAAAAAGGCTCATCACAATTTCCTAAAACTTAAGGCGACGTCTCCAAATATTTATTGCCAGAATATATAAAAATGATGATATAAAATGATACAAATATACAGAGAGGCAGTAAATATTCATATTTGAGAAGCTGGGATCAGAAAGTTTTACTAAAAATAAATAAATAATAACTTTAAGTGGTTTCAGCTTTAGAATAGAATTTAATTGTTCTAAGAGATTGTTTTTAGGAGATAAAAATATAATGTTTCAGTGTCTTGAGCACATGAAACCAAACCCCACTGACCTCCACTGTACTTATATCTCTAATTCTTATCACGTAAAACTTCCTGCGTGGCTCCAAACCAACATGGAAATATCACATCATCTTATAATATCATTTTATGTAACTTGCGTGCTGTGATGATCGAAGCTCCAGACAAACAAAATGAGTGAGTCCAGAAGAAGAAGTCAGAGTCAACATGTTGAGATTATTTGGAAACTTTCATTTATTATATAGCAAAAGTAGCTCTCTTGTGCGATTCGCTGTTGTCAAAAAGTCTGTAACACTGTTCCGAGAACATTCATTGAGCTGGTAACAACTGTAGGATCCCCCCCCCCGTTCAGCATTTACTCACCACTGCAGCACCACTCTGAACTCTCCACACACCTGGAATAATCGTCTTTTTCTCTCAGAGAATATTAGTACGTTTCACTGTGACTAGGTCACGTTTAAGTATTAAACTCCTAGGAGTTAGTTTAACAGTTTTACTAACTCCCGACAACTGTAAGGCCATCAGCCGCGACACAACGGGGGGGAAATGTCTGCTACAACACAAAAAACTGAATGGTCCAAATCGCAAAAAGTACCATTTAAACATAGAGTTCACCTAAAAGGTCGAATAAAAAGCACTCAAAGTGCTTCTTCAAATTAAAGATATGGTAAAAATCAATTACATGTGAAGATTTAATCAACATAAAGTGTTATAAAAGTTGCATTGCGTTTTCGAGGGGCAAAGAGTGAACAGTAGAAAATAAAGTAAATAACAAAAACAAACAGTCTCTGGTCCGTAAGCACGTTCAGAATCTGAGCGGTACGACTTAATGCAGAGCAGAGCATCAAGACCGACAGTCCTGATTCCACAGTCCTCCATCCCTGAAACCCTGGATGAGAGCTTGTGGATTGGCGGGGGGGCAGAAGTTAGAGGGGAGTGATGAAATAGTCAGCAGGTTTCTGGTAGCTGTGTGCTTGCTGGTTGTGTGTTTGGATCTGTTCCTGCTGCTGCTGCTGCTGGATGATCTGTCGGACTTCCTCCTCCAGCTCTGGCGGGATGATGAGCTGGTCGTCGGGGTCCGGCTGGGCGGGAGCGTTGAAGTAGCCCCCCTGGCTTTCTGACGGGGCGTCGGCCGCCTCCTCTATGAGGTCCTGGTTCCTTCCTTGGCAGGCCACGGAGCCGTTAGCTCGAGCCCTGCGGCCCAGAGTCCCTGACAGAGCCTCCCTGCTGAGGCAGGGAGAGGAGGGAGGGACGGGGGAGGGAGACGGGGAGCAGAAGGGGGGAGGTGAAGGCTCGTGATGCGAGGCGACAGTGGGAGGGATGTTTGTGCTTTGTTGAGTGTGGCCGTGTGTTTGGGGTGCCGCGTCGTGGTGGCGGAGCAGGCAGTGGACGTCGGCCTCCACTTCCACGCGGCTGCCGTTAGAGAAGACGCCGGCGATGGGCTCCTCGTCCTCGCTGTCCACCCCGTTGTCGGACAGCGCTCCGGAGAACTGCCTCTGGAAGCTCCCACCTCCACAGGCGGGCCTTCGCACGCCGGCTCGTCCCGGCAGGTTGAGGTGGGACGTCAGGGGCTCGGTCTGTGGCGGCGGCTCCTCTGAGGACGCCGTGGATCCCACGTCGCTGCTCATCTCGGAGGTGCTGAACTCGCTGCTCAGCTCGCTCACCGTTCCAGAGGAGGCCGGCGGCAGCGGTATGCCGCCGTCGCCGCTCGCCGAGTAGGGGTGCGTGCCGGTGTGCGCGCCCAGGCCGGGGCTGGGGGGTGGAGGTGGCGGCTCGCAGAAACAGCAGCAGTCCTCCGTGATACTGAGCTGGACGACCACGGCGCTCAGGCTGTCGGAGCAGCCGTAGCTCTGAGCCAGAGTCACCAGCTTCTTCGCGGCAGCCAGAGCGTCCGGCACGTTCCTGACCGCCTCCACCGCCTCGCTGGGAGACAGCAAGTCCCACAAGCCCCGGCTGCCCAAGAGAAAGAACTCGTCCTGCGGGGTGAGGGTCACCGTGGAGACATGGGGCCTGGGGGTCACAGACGGGCACAGGAAGGAGTAACCCATAATCCTGGTGGAGTCGGTTACACCGCTGACTTTGTTGTCCTGCAGAGGATAAACGGCGGTCATCAGTTAATCTGTTAGAGTGCTCAATCAATCAACTGACGGAAAATTAACTGGCAACAATTCTGGTTATTAGTGATTCATCACATTCATTAAGGGAAACATGACTTAGCAGTTTTGTCCCATCGATCAAACAACAGCAGAAACTTAAAGATATTAACTGGATTCCACTATTTTCTTCCATTTTACAGACTAAACCATTAATTGATAAAAGATTATTTGTTTGATTCATTGCTTAATCAGTTAGTCAATATAATGTGCAGCAATAGTGGAAATAATTAGCTAATTTATTAATCAGATCTAATTTTAATCTTTTTGTTTAGCATCTAAGAAAATTGTAAAAAAAAAGCACAAAGAATTTGAAGGGAAATCAGTTTTGTTTAGTAATAAACAATAACATTTAAAAGTGAGACTGAGAAAATGCAGCTTTATACAAGTAACATTAACTTCATTAAATCCAGTCATACTGAAGACATTTGAAGGCTTTAAGCTCCTTTACCTCGGTGATGATAGCGTTATGCTGCCGGACCCGCTCGTACTCCGGCTCCTCTTTGACGCTGTGTGTGGTGGAGAGTTGCATAGCTTTGCCGTCGCGGCACAGAACGGCCTGGCACCTGCCGACGTTGGCGGCCTTCAGGGTGAAGCAGCCGCCGTGCTCACCGGGAGCCACCGGGTCGTGTCTGATGTGACATAAAGCCGCCGAGCCGCCCATCCTCTGGCCCGCTGTGCCCAGTTTCCTGCAGGAGGGAGGGGACACACACACACACACACACACACACACACACAAAATGAGTTCAAGAGTGTGTGTGTGTGTGTGTGTGTGTGTGTGTGTGTGTGTGTGTGTGTGTGTGTGTGTGTATTCACGGTGACTGCAACGAGCAGTGGAAGTACTGAGGCGTGTGTGTGTGTGTGTGTGTTTGTTTACCTTTGCATGGTGAGGAAAGTGTTAGTCATGTAGTCTTCCTGCCTCTGGCCCCTGTGCAGCTCCTCTGCCAGCACGTCTCCCATGGTGCACTGCAGCAGGTAAGGCACCTCGACGTTTCTGTCTCCGTCAAAGACTCCGTACAGGGCTTCTCGAATCCCACAGAAACTGTCCAGAGCCAGAGCAGCCACACACAGCCTGAGAGGAGGATCGACAGTCAGCTGAGTCTGTGCTTTCTTAAATGCTTTATTGAACATTTCATTACCACCGTCATTGTATTTCACTTTATTAGTTTGTGTATTTTCTGAAAGCACTTTTGAACTGTGGTATGGAAAAGTGCTACATAATCTAAATAAAGTTTACTCACTTAATTGTGTTCTTACTGACTTTGAGAGATCGATAAAACATTAATTCCAGAGGAAAAGATGCCTGAGAGGAGATGGACAGAGAGAGGAAGAGGTGGGAGGAGGACTGACTTGTTTTTGACTCCAGAGGCCTCTGTGTAGCCGTGGCTCCAGACTGCAGGGGCCCCGTGGCTCTCATTCACACACGGAGCTGAAGGTGATGGATCCACCCTGAAACATCTGATATTGCTGCAGAGAGAAGACAGAAAAGGTCAAAAGAACAGCCAGTTGTATTTTACTCCAGATACTGCAGTGTCTGTCAGGTCCGTACTTGAGGAGCTCCAGGCTCTTGTGGTCCAGGTTGAGACGAGGATTCCCTGTGAGGTCCAGCTCCTGAAGCTTCGGAGGGAGCGTCTCTGGCAGAGTCACCTCGGTCAGCTCGTTGCAGCTCAGGTCGACACACTGAGGAAGAGACAGACGGAGGGTCAGTTCTAGATACCTCTCAACCCAGAACTACGATTCCAGACGGATCCTGATCTCAGTGTGTTTTCTATACATATATTTATAACTCAGACTGTAGACTCAGATTAAAATCCCATACAACATTAACCTTCATCTGCTGTAGATAACGCCTTATACAACCCCACCCCAAAATACCCAAACTATCTCTTTAACTCTTCTCCTCTACGGGTCTTTTTCAGGGAATACTGAAGTCCCATTAATCTCATTAATGAGAGCTATTCCGTTAGTTGAGCCAGTTTCCAGGGTTCTGTGTTGCACTCCCTTCCTGGAGAGATTTCCTGAGACACTTAATGGAACAGAGCCATCAGTGCTTCTCTTGTTATGATAAGTTAAAGTGTCTGCTGTGAAAAAGGATGTTGAGATTAGAGAGTTGACTTTAAATGTTTATATTCATTCTCTTTTGTAGCTACTGTTTCATAATGAGCTTCATATCACAAAAATTCAGACGTTTTGTGCATCAATTCAGACTCATTCAGGGTAATCATGATGTGTAATACGGTCCCCACCCTTAACTTCACACACACTCACACACACTCACTCACTCAGGCACAGACAGGAGTATGGAACCGTCATTTGGGTTCAGAGAAAGGATTCAGAGATTAACGAGTTACTGGGAGATTACAAAGGATTTCCTGATCTGGCCTAACCCAATAAAGATGAACACAGAGGTAGACAGACACACAGATTAAAAAAAAAAAAAGGGAGGTCAGGATTTTGTCATCAGAGTAGAACGACGTTGATTTTCTTTAATTTCCCACAAGGCACCAGAGTCTGAGAACACTGATTAGATTAGAAGAAAGATAATATACATGTTCATGTTTTCAGGCTCCAGAGCTGAATGAATGGATGGAAACGGAGCCTAAAATACCTGCGTGTGTCAGACTAACCTTGATCTCAGGCAGCTGGAGCACCTCTGGGAACGCGTTGATGCAGTTGGAGTGGGCGGAGAGTGTGTGCATACGCTGGCAGCTGAGGATGGTGGTGGGCACTGCCCTCAGTCTGTTGCCGCTCAGGTCCAGCTCCTCCAGCTGCTCCAGGCGTGCCAGTTTACTGCGGGGGGGGGGACGGTTTTATCAAGAGCGCTGGCACTGCAAACTTTATTTTTGGGATCCACATTTATCAGACTCAGCTCCCTTGTGACCTTAACCTGATTCTGAAGCAAGGCTCTGATTTTAGACTGGATGATAATGTTTCTAGAATTAGGAATGTGAGTTAATGCCACCATTAAGGTGCACAACAATGTTCTGCAACCCAACCTAGACCTCCTGAAATTCCTTTTTCAGTAAAACCTAGAGGTCCGGAAGTGAATTTGCCCATTCATTCACTTGAAGAAAACGCTTATATAGAGTTTAAAGACTGTACATAATTATTTTATTATTTTAAGAGTGAAGGAACTACCTTTGGCAACCACCAACCTGGAGATAACAAAGCCTTCTTAATTTTATGCGGTAAAAGAAAACCTTACAAATACCAATTGATTGTTTTATTTGCATTTTTATTCTATTTATTTATTACTGACTTTTCATTGTAAGTTCCTATGTATGTCCATTATTATTTTATTTGCTGTTGCATGTTCAAACTGGGGGAAGGTTCAGTATGTATGTGTGTTGATTTATAAGAAAGAGATTTCTACTCCTGGAACGTCGCTGTTGAGCTCTACTGCTGCTTAAATGTGGTTGTCAGACACTGATTAACTCTGAAAAAGCTCAGTTCATGTGCAGTTGTGTATCGTACCTGGCGGTGAAGGTCTGTAGCTGGTTGTAGGCGAGGTGAAGCACCCTGAGGTGTCCGTGTCCAGTCAGCAGAGGGACACACTTGTCTGTCAGGCTGTTATTAGTCACATAGAGCTCCTCCAGGCTGCTGAAGCTGTCCTCCGATAGGCTGGCTGCTGGGAGGCTCTCCAGCTTATTGGCCGACACATTCAGGTACCGCAAGCTGTGACGAAATCCCAAGAGAGGAGACAAACTTAATACTTGAACACATGGAGAAGGGACAAAAAAAATAGAGAGCGAGAGACAGAAAGAAGGATGTTGCTGCGTGCACCTCTGTGCTTTGATGAACAGGTTGTGTGGGAGCTCAGTCAGATGGTTGTGTTGGAGGTCCAGGACCTCTAGCTGTGATCTCTCCAGCCTCTCAGCCAGCCGACACACTTCGTTCCAGCCTGCCAGCAGCTTTCTCAGGCTCCCGCTGGACATCAGCCTACAACACACAAACATGATGAGGACACAGAACGGTATTTTGTGTACCAAATAAGTTCACCTTATGATGGACTAACTCTTGAATCATGATAGGAGGAGAGGAAATGTATGAGGGCTTGACGTTCAGTTGGAATGTAAGATCTGATGCTCTTAAGGCAGCAGTGCGTGTTTGTAATTACTGCCACAGGCTGTACGCAGACTGAAAATAGCACTGCATCTGTGTGGGCGTGTTGCTACAGGTACCGATGAAACCTTTTAGAATAATACATCTATTCCCTTAAAGGCCTCCTCCGCTCAGAAATCAGTGTTTCTCCTTGTACCTACACTGTGATGTTTGAATGATGTCTGTACAGAGTTTGACACTAGAAGAATGTTTTCACATTCATCTGCTGAGAGTGGAAAGTTTCTCTCATTTAAAGTGTGATTTTTAAGGGGCGGGGCCTACGAGCATGATTTGTCACATCACAAATAGTTTGTAAGTCAAGCATTAGTCAGTTTATACAGTGTGATCTACCAGTGCACAGTTAATGAGGTAGAAGGAGTAGATGCATTTTTAAGGATTCTTTGTGGAAAAACAACTACTTGTATGCACAGTATGTCTTAATAAATGTCTGGAAGGGATCTTTAAAGACTCATCAGCACTGTTATATGTATGTACAGTTTGCATTGTACTTGCTGCACATTATAGCCTTCACTGTTAGTGACATAGTTACATACTTTTACCTTTCCCCTCAGTTTCTGAGAAGCTGTACTATCTTGACATTATGGACTTCTATGGACAATTAAGTTTAAATTCAGTTTAATCAATGTTGCACTGCGTTGCTGTAACAGTGTTTTATCTTTCTTTTAAACCTCAGCCTTCTGCGTCAGTACTCCCACTGTACCGACGCATGATGTCTCAGTAATGAATGAGGGGGATGTATTTTTTGACACAGTGCTAATGTCTGTCTGTGCTATATGAGCCGTTAAAGATCCCCTCCAGACGCGTGTTAAGACATATATACAATAATCTGCTTGGAACAATAGTGTGTGTAAAGTCTGGTCTTGGTGTATGTGCACTGTCACACTCGTAGAAGAGAAGATAAACTTTCCACTCTCAGCAGATGAATGTGAAAACATCGTTCTAGTGTCAAACTCTGCACAGACATCATTCGAACAGCACACTGTAAGAACAAGAAGAAACACAGATTTTTTTCCCACCTTCTCTCCTTCTGCAACAGCTTACTTGTGAACAACGAGTCTATGCTGCAGGTGTTCGTGTGATACTCACTGTACGGAGAGCTCTGTAACACAATTATGGTTGATGTCCAACACCTCCAGCTTGCTGCTCTCACACACCCACTCAGGGACACATCCTAGCTTGTTCCTTTAATAAAACAAATACAGTCAGCGTCCCACTTTGAACAAGCACACAGCCTTCTTTTTTCCACACAGTAAATAGGACATTGAAGTACTCGTACCAGGACAAATCCAGAACAGTCAGGTTCTCTGGCACCGGCTGCACCTCCAGCAGCTTCAGCTCTACAAACACAAACGTGCACAATTCTTTATAGTCTGAGTGTGAATGTTATATCTGCTGTTCAACATCTCTACAACACACAGGAGATCTTAGTACCGTTGTGTGCAGCGTGCAGGCTCTTGAGGGCGTGGCCGCTGACTCTGAGGAGGGAGAGAGCGTTTCTGTCACAGCGGAGGAGCTCCAGCCTACAGAGAGGCCTGACATCCAGCTCCTGTAAACCAGTGTCCCTCAGGTCCAGCTGGACGATGTGAACCAGCTGCTCCGACTCTCCAACTGTCACCTTTTGAAGCCGGTTTAGCCTGAGAACAAGAGGGTGGAAAACCGGGTAAATACATTATTTTGCCTGCAAAAATAAACCACACTTTAACTATTTGGTGTTAAGATTTCCAAATCAACAGGACAACATGATGCAGAAATAACAGAGCAGACTTTTCCTGCAGCATCTTGGGAAGTGTTAGATTTCGGATGAGCTTTTGTTTCAGCGTTGCGTCTATAAATGTCAGAGCCCTGTGTGGATGTGTTTACCTGAGATCTATGTGGCGAGCAGGCAGCCACTGCAGTCCGGCTATATCCAGGACGGAGAGCTGGTTCCCTGCCAGACAGAGTCTCTCCATGCCTCTGAGCTTCTCCAGGACGGAGGGGACGCAGCTGAAACAGTTGAAGGACAAGCCAAGGTAGGTCAGGCCCTCCAGAGAGCCCAGCTCCACGGGCAGAGAACTCAGACAGTTACCATCCAGGAGGAGAGTCTGCAGGCTGGACACACAACGAGAGAAGAGGGGAGGGGATTTGTTTAATTTCATAGCGATTATACACTAATGAAAATATACCTATGAATATTACACTCTTTTCCTGCCAACAGATCTTCCTAAATGTTACTCACATTACCTTTAATGGGAATCACTGCTAACGTTAGCAAGCTACGCTATGTGGCTTCCACTTTCTGAGTGCAATACAAACCTAACAGCAGGGCGGGTCCTCCCAAACGCTCACTCTTGTAAAGGGACATGTCTTAAATCGCAGTACATATAAACTGCACATAACCAGCCCGGTGATATTTGGGCTTGTTGGAAAAAATGTTCATACGCTGTAAAGACGTGCTCCATTCAACAGCGACCCACAGGAGTTGACAGCATGTCTCCTAGCAACGCCCGCTGCCACTGGAAACGCCCACCAAGTAGCTTTTTACTGTTTCCACACAGCAGTTTTATCCTCGTTTGAAAAATGCGAAATGGCTGCAGTGCTTTTATAGTTTATATGTATTATACGCAATTCAAATTCTGACACTGGATTTATTTACATCATGTGCTAAGAAATCTGATGTTTCCAATTAGAGCTGCAACTCTAATTTATTAGTTGTCAACTTCTAAATTAGTCTGCAACTATTTTAATAATCAATTCAACGTTTTGAGTCATTTTTCATTATAAAATGTTCAAATTCTGTGATTTCAGCTTCTTAAATGTGAATATTTTCTGCTTTCTTTAGTCCTCTCCAAACAACTAATCGAGAAAATGAATCAATAGTGATATAATAGTGCAACCCTTATTTGCAACTGACTCAGCAACATCGCATACGCTCAAACACAAGTGTACAAACGCGCACACACAGTTTGCTGCTGGACGCTTGCCCCCCAATTCCCCTGTAATGCAGAGACAGCATCAGCATGACTCTGCACTCTGATCACCTGGACAAAAACCTCTGCACCGTCAGGACAGAAGTCTGGTGCACAGCCAGTTGTTCACTTAATACAGAGCCGGATTAATCTGCACTGATGGAACCACAATGACAAACAACTCCCGTCTGATGTCTCTGTCAGCAGAGTGCAGGTCGCTGAGGATAAACTCTGCTTTCGGGGCAAATCATCATCACCGTTATGATTAATAACCGCAGCCCCTATCGTCATCGCCTTCTTTCAGCCCACTTACTTGTGCATGGTTCCGACTTCTGCGGGCAGCAACGAGAGACGATTTCCAGACACGTTTAGCTCCGTAAGCGAGGACATGTCACACAAGGCCAGAGGAAACTCTGACAGAGCGTTATTTGACAGACTGAGGCTTCTCAGTTTACAAAACCTAGAGAGAGTTGGAGAGAGAGAAAGAGGGACAAGAAAATAATCATTTAGTGCTATAATCAGAGTTTCTTCTGAACAGAGCCTCTAACAAACTTTTTTTTTTTAGTTACACAACACCAGCCTCATAAACAAGGAGAATTACAGTAGAAGAAGCCTGCACAAGGCTCAAGGACACAGCACCGTAACACTTACAGTACACATGCTATTTAAAGCTGAATGTTTACACCACTCAAAAAGCTTTCAGCATAACAATGCAACAGCGTGTGGTTCAGGTAGGAAGCCTGCGTGTGTTTGTGTCGTCCCTGGTTTTTTCTTAGCCAAACCTAATCCAGTTCACAGAGGGGTCAGGGTGAGAGGCTGAGCTGGACCCACATCCTTCCGAGGGGAAAGTCACAGGCAGACCACGGGAAAAAAACACATTCCTTAAAACACCGCCTGGGAAGCATGTGTTTATGGAGAAACAATGGCTGCGTATATACAGTCAGTGTATTTATTTCCATCAAGTGAATGTATTAAACGTAATGTTCTCTTGACATAAAGTGGCGGCAAAGACGCCAAAACTGAGAGGAACAGAAATTGTTGTAAGATAAAAACAGTAAACGCTGCACTGACTCTGGTGTGTGTGAACATCTAGCTGTATATAAAAACACGGTATATACTGCGAGATGTATATAGATGTTCACATAAATGCTTCTCAACATGTGTGTTTAGATAACGTAACCCAGCTAGTCAGGTCACATGACTTTCAATTTAATTTGAATACGATTCCGATGGATCGGACAATTTGGAACCGGTTGTCAATTCCCATCCCTGAGTGACGCTTTTCAGAAACTCGCGGAAAACTGCACTACAATACAAAGTTGGAGTTTCACCCACATCCTCTAACGCCACCCAACTAAACTCCTGTTTCCAGGACAACTGAAGGGCTCGCTTCGGCTCATAAACTTTGTCTTTACCCGCCGTTTTCTCCCGAGTGCCCGAACGGTACTGAGCATGTGCGAGAAGGCTCACTCCTTACCTACTTCCATCATCAGCTCGGGAAGAAACAATGTGTTCATTTCTTTTTTTTAACCATATGCTTAGATGTTGTTGTTAAAAAGGGCTTTAGTAGCTACATGTTGTGGTGGATTTTACTCCTGTAAGCGTACTCAAGTATTTTGATGGAACACTTCTTCCATAGTAGATGATGAAAGAAAAGTCTTTACAATTGCTCCATGAGAAAAGCCCCAGCTGCCCCAGAGGTCAAGTGGCTGGATGTCAAATCTCTCATCACCAGTGTACCGCTCTCTTTTAATCATCTGAACCACACAGCCGCCCACGTTCACGTCATCTGTAATTTGATCTAAGCTGCTTCCTCTTCAGACCATATGGTAGCACCCAAAGACAGTAAAAACCACTCAGGGACATTTCACATCCAAAAGAAAAAATAACAAGGAGGAAAGTGCTGCTTTTCATCTGCCGGCTCCTCCTCCTGCTTTGTTCCTGAACGCTCTGGATGGAAGCAGAGTCTGTCTCAGTGTGGGAGTGCTTGGTGACAGAAACTCACCTGGTGAGCGCTGGAACTCCTTTGTGCAGCGAAATGAAGTTGTTTTTGAGATTGAGGTGTGTGAGGTCCTGGCTGTAAAAGAGCTGAGCAGGCAGCTCCTCCAGGCTGCAGCACGACAGGTCAACTGAGTTCACCCTCTGTGACGCAATCTGACAAAAGAGAGAGGGATGAACCACTTGTGACAATGACACCTGAGGCAGTAAAGATGTGTAAAATCCTGCCATCATCACAGAACCACCCTGAATTTATGTGTATACGTTTTCATTAACTATTACTATAGACACAAATACACACATATAACACACTTGAAGTACCTTTGAGGCCGTCCTGTGCCAGCGGAGGTGCTCTGTGTAGGACTCGTAGCTGATGTAGTAAGTCTGACTCTGAGGACCAGCTGAGCTGAAAGCCAGACAGTGGCTGTGTCTCCTCACTTCCTCCACCTGCAGCACAGAACATAATGATTTAATGACTGAGGTTTCAAATAAGATTCAAAACTATATCAGATAGTCCAGAAATGTATGTTGTTTTTTTCTTTTGGAAACGGCTGATGCAGCCCAAATCTTTTTCTGCTGGGTAAGGACACATTCTAACTTTGAGAACGCACACAAACCGAGGTGAAGAGGAGTGTGAGCTTTAAAATGAATCCAAGATGAACCCACGTTGCACAGCTCTTATCAAATGTACCACGCTTTATTCACCATTCAACATTTTCAGCCGCCTATCTTGCCTCTCGCCTTTATCAGAAGTTAATTCTGATCTCTGATTACCAGCAATGTGACTTATAGAGTTGTGGGATGTGTTTTAATTTTGGCTAAAGATGAACTCTACAAATGCATTTTAAGTGCCTCCTCCACATCTCTGCTTCTATGTTCCCCCTTTCCTTAAAGGCATAATTTGACATATTGCGAAATATGTTTATGTGCTTTTTTAAAACTGACAATGTGTGGGTTTTCTTTTTAATGAGCTTGTGCTGGAACTACTTCACGGCCGGGTGCAGTGACCTCCAGGACTCTTGTCATCGAGGTTGCCAGGCAATCAGCTGAAAGTCTAAGAAGTCACTGCACCCATCCAAGAAATGGTCCAGCAAATAAATCACCATACAAAGTTTACATTACAGTATTTGTATGGATTATAGAAAATGAGAAACAACAATAAGTGAGCTTTAAAGGTGCTGGTAGGCAGATTTTCTATATGTTTTTAAGCCTTTTCTACCCGTTTCCAGTGTTCATGCTAACGTCTCTTGGTTCTAGGATCATATTTGCTGCACAGACATAAGACATGGGATATTTATGCTGCACAACAATAATACTGACTTGTCTCCCAGTGAAGACTAATTGCAGCTGGGAATTTTGTGGCTGCAGGAGATGAAGCAGAACCTGGTGCAGCAATGTGGGAGTGCAGCAGGAGCACACAGCTACAGGAGCAGTAAACAACCCCTGAGCTCCAAAACAAAAATGTTTTGTACCGCTGCTCAAAAAACCACCGAGAGGAATTCTTCACGGCAGATAAACAGGTACCGAGCCAGAGTGGTAATCAACAAGTTGCAGACATGAGAGCGCTTCAGAAAAGTACCTTTCCTCCGATCAGAGGGAGGATGTGCATCTTGCCGGTGTGGGCGTGTTTCACAGATGAGACAATGAGGCAGGTTCCACACAGCGTGACCTGGCGCTTCGACCAGCGGTTCACCGGGCAGCGCCAGTTTCCCTTTCCGCACGTTGAACACCCCAGAAAGCTGCACACGCTCAGAACCACCCACACTGCGAGGCTTACCTGGAGAGAGAGGGAGAGAGAGAGAGAGACTGGTTATGAGACAAAGCTAGATTGCTGATGAGCTCCAGTGTAGTGACTATTACACACACACACTGATTTCATTTTTCCTAATAAGAACATGATATTTTTAGCCGTCTGGGGATTTTGTGAATCAACTCTCTCTCATGCTGGGTTTCTCTTTCAGAAAGCGGGAGCGACAGTGCGGTTATGTAAGTGAATTGTGGCTAATAGCCCCGTGGGCTGAGAGAGTGAGCAGTCACTCAGGCGTGATTTGTTACGTTAACCCCTTGCTCACACAAAAAAGCAGCCTCAGTTCAGTTACAGCTGCGGGGCGACGCCGGGGATTGGCCACAAACATGGAGTTCCCCTGCGTTACCAGTGCGTTCAAACACAATGAAACCAACTAGAAACTGATTGAGAGTGTATGTCCGCTTATAAAACTGGGTTTTTATCCTTATGTCCTTATTTTCTTGAATTACTGAGTAGGACTGTGTATTGGCAAAAACCTGGCGATACGATACGGGTTACCATTCAATTTATCGCATATGCAAGGTGATATATTGCGATTTCTTTAGGGAAACTATCATAGCTGACACCACAGGCATAAAATCTAAGGGGGGGAGTAACTAGAACTATATATAAGTAGCAATCCAACATCATAGCCCTCAGTTTACATTTACAACGGGTTGGATGCGGGCCGTTGACATACCGTGATGTTGGATTTAGTACATCATTGGAAAGCTTAGAATCTCGTCTATTTATCGATCACATCATTGGAAAGCTTAGAATCTCGTCTATTTATCGATCAAAACGGTTTTGTGATACAATCACAACAGCAGGCACAATCGGCGCCTCAAACTAGCGAGCAAGCGGTCATAAAATTGAGCCAACTCACCCAAGAAGCCTCACTGTAATCCTGGAACCAGTAATAATCCAACAAAAACAGTCCTGTTTCATTGCCAAAGGTCCAATATATCCACTCCAGTAAGATTTATCTGGTAGATCTATCAGTATCAGTGTTATCTTTTAAATAGACCAAGCATATAGCAGGTTGAAAACAGCTTTAATTTACTTTGGGTATGTTGTTTTTAGGCGTTTTTAGGTAATTTTACATACATGGTAAGAGGTTAGACACAAATATCAGTACGATATCACAAAATATCACAAAACTCAAGCTTATGGTTTTAAATCTTGAGCACAGTTACGTTACAAACACAGATCCAACAAACAGAAAAGTCAGACAGAAGTATTTGTTCAGTTTCTTGAACATCATTATGACTGCACTTTGTGCGACTGCCATCCATAACATCAGAGCTTTTTGTAGCTTCACTTGCCAACGTGAACTCCCTTTTTTGTATTTCCCAGGTTCTGTACGTACTCTCGGTTCTAACAGGAACAGGGAGTCGTGGATGTGCAGACACCGATGATGTCAGTAAACACAACCAAAGATATGACCAACAATTCAAGATAAACTCACAAACACAATCTCGTGTCTCATAGATTCACAGTCGAAGCCAAACTTTAGTCAGAGTGTGTATTTCCAGTCATTATTGATGTTAAGTGAACAATCACCCCGATGATATCACACGCCTTCTTACAGCTCCAGCTCCCAGATGTTTGAATGTGACGTAAACGTACGATACAACTCAGGGAGCAGATCAATCTGACTCTTTCAAACAGACTCCATTTTAAACTAAACAATAACGTGGAATGCGTATTGTGTGGGTCCACCCTTCCCGGGGCGGTGCGGGCGAGACGTAGTGTGTTCATATACACACACACACACACACACACATACATACCCTTTCCTTCCGTCTATTTCTGTGGATGGGGAACATCCTGTCTCTCATCGAGCAGCCAAAAGCCATTTCCTGTCCGTGCTACAACCAAACTTTTTTTTTTTGGTGCATCTTGTCCCCGAAAGGGCTCGGTGTCCCCGAACGCACCGAGTCATCGACCACTTCCATCCATCTCTGATTAGCAGCAGTTACAAGACTTTGCTTGGAGCTGGATTTTGGATGCCGGGTTGAAATGTGAAGCAGCATCAGAGCGGTGCAGCTGGTGTCTGATACTGATCACTGATCACTGGGTCTATCTGAAGCCTTCTGTTTATTGTGTAGACTTTTTTAATCCAACTATTTAACAAACATTGCACATTAAGCACTAAAATTAAGAGATGAGAAAGCTCAGCTGAACTGACTACGGCTGCACGATACAGTAAAAACATCATACTGTGATTATTTGGACAGATATGATTCACTATTAGTGTGGGAATGATCATTTTTGCATCACAAATTGATGAAATGATGTGAAATGTTTTGTTTTCTTACACAGGATGTGTAGACCAGTGAATCTCTGCAGCTCTACAGCTCTTCATTATAATGCTTCTATCAAAAAATTGCAGCTCCTGAAATTTGCATATTGCACTTGGCCATGTATATATATTGCGATTAATTGTGCAGCCCGAGAACTGAAAACTGTTTATTTATTGGCAGGCAACATATTCCACTCTCTCTGCCTTAGAGACAACTTAAACCATAAACAGCCCACACTGGTTATTGGGAGCAGCTTAGAGCTTAACAAACACACTGTATACTCTATAGACGACTGTAACTGTGGATGGAGGGAGGGGGTATAACATATTTCTATTTTCTATTTCTTATTTCACCATTTGAATGCAACTTTATTGGCTCTTCCGATCTTTACAGGGAGTAACCGATCGAACTGCTTTGAGCTAATATCAATCGTTTGCCGATCAATCCGCACCACGTGGTCAACATACGACGTCTGCATTCACAGTCTGCAGGTATTTGGTGAGTTTTGGGGCAGAGGTATCAGATAAGTTTGATAAGGTGAGTCTCTAACCTTGTAAAGTAAAGCAGTGACCTCTGGGTACTGCAGTCCTGCGTCTGCTGCTGCGAACCGTCTCAGGGAGATCCGAAACACTGAGGAGGTGAAATCTGAGTTCCACTAAGGTCACTTTTCTCTTACTGTCAGCACATTGACTGTGTCTGTGTGTGTGTGTGTGTGTGTGTGTGTGTGTGTGTCTGTGTGTGTGTGTGTGTGTGTGTGTGTGTGTGTGTGTGTGTGTGTGTGTGTGTGTAAGAGAATACTTGGCAATGTGCATTTTGCCACAGGGATTATGCTGAGTCAAACTCCTTTGGCTCTGAAAATCAACATTAACAAACGATTTGCACCGGACGCACCAAGAGGACAGGACGGTGAGGAGTGGGGCTGCGTCAGATTAGGGTTGGGGAGTATGTGAACATTTCCAACCGGTCACCGTCAGTCCAACAACCGGCAATTGCAGATATATTTGCCCACGTGTGTGTGTGTGTGTGTGTGTGTGTGTGTGTGCTGCACCAGCTTTGACTAACAAAAGAAACTCTTCAAATAGGAGGAAAAACACCTATAAAATACAACCAGACACCTTTTAAATTCACTCTTATACCGACCTAAGAGCTTGTTAAGCTGTCATAAAACTCACCAAACCGCCTTTATTAGTCTCTCTACTGTTCCAACAATCACCAACTCTGCTGTCTAACCGTCTTACAGAGTTTGATTTGATGCCCAGCTTCTTCCTCCTTCAGAGTCTTGGTTGGAGCCTCTTGTTGCGGTTTTCCCGGTTGACAAACTAGTTGAGAAAAAAACCTCAATTCACCGCAGCTAGATGTGAAAATATTCTGTTTCAACAGCTTTTCTTGTTCTTCAACTCATTCTGTGTGACTGCGCCGCTGAACAGCTGCTCTAATTCTCCAAATTAGCTAAATAAAATGACAAAAATCACCCAAAAACAACCACCAATAACCGACACATTCCTCCAATCCCTTGTTCTCATACCAGTTCTTCCTCCCTGATACCTGAACTTCGGCCGATACCGAGCCCCAATCCGATACACGTGCATTAAAACACAAAAAACAAAAATATGTTCTTGTGAATGAATGTACAGTTTTACTTCTCCTGGCACTCTGAGAACTTAACATTGCTTTGTTTACAGTGGCTGACTTGTGGTGAACCAATCTAACTTCATCATGAATTCTGCAATCACTCCACATCGCCACGCCACTTCTCTTCAGTAACCGTCCCCAGCATGCCGCGCCAGTAGCACTTCCACTCTCCTGCCACAGCAGCCTCTCGCTGCTTGTTTCATGGCTGTGTGGGTTTGTCTGCTGTAGCTGGAAGGGCCCCCCCCCGTGCGCTCTCAGCGGCCTGGCGCTACGTCATGCTTTTGTTCGTCTGTCATGTTACTGTGGGAGCCAAGTGTGTGAGTGAGGGGGGGGGACGGACGGACGCAGGGCAAGGCAAGGGGGAATGTGTGCAGCTTTCCGTGCAACATTTTCAGGGTCGAGGAAAGCCTTTGATTTGTACTGTGACTTGAGTTGTACCTCTGGGGTTGTTGGTGTGTGTGGGAGTATAAGTGGTTTATTGTGGACTTCTTGTATAAAACTAAAAAAATAACAAAGTGAGAACAGAGAATTCTTGAATGAGCCTTCAGAGACACGCCCAAAAACTCTCTTTTTAACAAAGCATTTCCAGCACGTTTACCGGCAGCCCTCCGCTAGAATTTACTTTATTTTACAGTAAATTCATCTTCTAGGAAGTGAACGTGTTGGTTGCATCTACGGTTAATATCGATGTGCATGTAATCATCAACCACAACAACAAATCTGATCATTAAAAGGCTGCACGCGTGTACATATGACCGGGAAGAAAGATTGCTGCAAGTCTGCATCGTGTCTGGTAATACTTTAGGTTTAGGTGGGCGATCTGAGAAAATTACAATGAATAATTTCAAGGACAACATCAGATTATTTCCAGGATATTTTGTCATTATAGTACATTTCCAGGTGTTTCAAAATACTTTCTAAAGTTCCAGGTTTTCCAGGATGCGTGAAAACCTTAATATGAGTTAAATTAACTTAATTTTAGTCAATCTGATGTTCAGTTTCTTCCTCCCTCATCACACCACCACTCTTTATCCCCCACTGTCTGTGCTGATGGTGTTAAAAAAAAAAACAAGGTCAAAAACAATATCCAGTTGTGCTAATCCCCCCCATAAGAGATCATGGCTGTTTTTTTTCCATCCTCTTACCCTGCTCGTCAGCAAAACAGGATCTTCATCATCAATAACAACAACAACAGCAGCAGCAGCAACAACAACAACAGCAGCAGAGGAAGAAGAGAAACAGGATCCATAATGCCTCATGAGTTCGGTGGGTGGCGTGCCCGAGAGAGCACACCTGTTACCTCCAGATGTGTCTCCCTACAGAGGGGTTGGGTGGGTTTACAGGGCTAAAAACACTGGGCATTGTCCTCCGCCAGGACAATTGAATACACTTGTTTAACAGTCCGACTGACCAAACACAATGACAGCGCTCACGGTACACTGAGAATGGATGGACAACGAATGACTGTGAGTGAAAGTGGCGAGGTGTAACCAGCAGCTAGTGGCTCTCGGACGGCGTATTGGGGGAAAGAAGTATAATAAAAACTAGATCCAGATGTTGTTGTAAACATACAGTGTGTGTGCAGATAAACGATCATTAAACCTGTGAAAAATTGTTGGATTTTTCTACAACTTCTACAACAAAATATCTACTCACCAAAGTAGAAGCGTATCAGGCAGCCGATTTCTGGATTCATCCCCTCGCCCTGCACCCTCCACGGGTCTTCATACCCCAGATTAGTGAGGTACTCGTTTAATATCTGCAGAGGCCTCTCGTCATCTCCCAGCCGCCGTACAGCTCCACCGTGCAGCTGGACGAAGAGAGCCGGGGTCGGACTGGTGTTGATGGGCTCCGGCCATCCCCTGCCCCCCTCCCCGGGGGCCTCCGGGTCAGGCTGGACAGATGCTTGGCTGGTCAGGGGCCGAGTCTGAGAGCTGCTGGAGCACTTGGAGGGAGGTTTGATTAATTTGGGGGCATCTACGGTGTCGCCGGCTCCACCTTCAGTGTCATCCGGTGTGGTGGTGGTGGTGGCTTGGCTGGAAGCACTGCAGGGGTCTGCGGCGGAGGGGCCCGTTGAATGCGTCGGAGAGGAGGTGAGGTCCACTTCATCTGAGGAGCTCTCAAACGGGTCGGGTCCCTCCGTGGCACTGTCACAGTTGGGGCTCAACACTGAGGAGTCGGTGCCCACGCCCGGTCCATCACTGAGCTCCGTGCTTCTGGGCCCACCTGGGCTGAAGTCCTCACAGGTGCTGCTCTCCATATCTGAACCAGAGTAGACCCCATAACAGTCTGCCACACTCAGGCTCAAATCCACTCCGATGTCGTTCAGATAGACCTCAGATGAGGAGTTGCTGGCGGGTTTATCATCCAACAAGTTATTGGACAGTTTAGTATCAGGATAATACTGCTTTGTGTGCTCACTGTCTTCTGCTTTGGGGTCACTGAGACTGTCAATGTCCTCAGTCTGTCCACTAATATCTTTACAGTTATCGTTTAAGTCAACTAAAGCACTAGTTTTGTAGTTAATTCTCAACACAGCCCCGGCTTTGCTCCCTTCCAGCTTACCGGCTACCTCTTTAGCAGTGGTGTCCGCCGTGCAGAGCACCGGCCGCGGGTAGGAGGGCGTGAGCCAGTCGTGGACGTGAATGCATCCCCGCCGGAGGTCCGACCTCACCCAAGTCTTATCCGAGGCCTGGAGCTGCTTTGACTGCTTCTGCCGCAGAAAAGTCCTCCTGTCCAGGCTGAGGGTGCTCAGCGGCGAGACCGAGGGAGCGGGACCGGCCGCCTCCACGGAGGACCCGCCGGGCGAGCCGCAGGTCGGCGGAGCCCCGAGCGACAGATTCCGCTTGTGTCTCTGCCGCCTCCGGCTCAGCAAAGAGTTGACAGAAGCGGTGCTGCTGGCCGATGTCAGGCTGTAAATGTTGGCGGGGATGTTTATGTTTTTGGCCGCGCCGATAGCGTTGGCAACTTGGTTTTGATAGATCCCGTTCCTGATCGCAATCTGGAGGAGGGAGGTGGCTGCGAGTCCCTTCCCGAAGAGTTTCGCCTCTGCGCCGCCGCCGCCGCCGCCGCCGTCATCCTCCCCGATGGAGGGTCTCTTCCCCGCGGAGAGCGGCGTTAATCCGCTCGGCTTCACGGAGGTACCGTCGCTGCCGGAGTCGAGCATCCCCTGTGGCGTTGGCGAAGTTGAAAGCGCCCCGTTTTCCTTCACACTCTCCATCCTGTCGGCGTACACCAGCAACAACAGCCTGCAGGTGAACGCTAGCCTGCGTTAGCTCGCAGCCGTTACTTTCTCCCGAGCCAACGGCTCTGCGTTAGCTTAGCATGTTGCTTTTTTTTTTAAAAAAAAGAAGCAAAAAAAGAAAAAAAAAAAAAAAAGAAAAGGTATAGTTGTGCTGTTCGTCCGAAGGAGTTGTTCCGCTACATCATCCCGTTTCACTGTGCGCCCGTTAGCTCGCTCACGGCGGCGAACCGGCGGGGTCCGAATAATGTTCTTTCTAGCTGGTCGCCATGGAAGCTAACGCGGGGAGTGGGCGCGAGCTGCTGCCGTTCACACCGAGGAGAGTGACGATGCAAGAGGGCGGGGTCTCATTGGATATGAATTATGACGCGTTCAAGCGCTGCAGAAAGCTCGGATTTTTGTATACTCAACTTTAGTTGTGTGGCGCCTGTCAAATAAACAAACTGAAAACAGCACATGAATAATATGGAAGCACTTTTCCGCCAATATGACGGGGGAAAAGGGATTCTGTAAGTCATTATAATGAGAAAATGTCTTAATATTTTGACTTAGTATCTGAAAATAATAACTTATTATCACACAAACTTTCTATTTTGAGATAAATAACATTTAATATCTTATGTTTCTGACAATAAGATACTGGACTGGACTGGTGACACGGATGTCCAAGAGGGGTCAGAACCGTGTATGGACTGCTTTATATTGTACAAAGTGTCAGATGTCTATTTTTTAATATATTTTTATTTTCCTACAAATGTTTACTTATAGATGTTTTATTCTTTGTTATCTATTTTAATCAATCAATTCACAGTTTTAGCCTCTTAAAAATGGGTATTTAAAACATTTTGGTGTTGGTTGGATAAAAAAAAATTAAGTGGAATATGACGATTCAGGCTTTGGTAAATTTTAATGGGTTAACTGGATCTGATGATTTCATTTCCCATTATTCATATTTTCGTTGGACACTACTTCTGAATAAGGAGTTGCTGTGCTCCAGCTGTTTGGTTGCTGAGTGCCATAATATTTCCAACCCAAACGTTATTACAACAAATAGCCTAAAATAAATATGAATGAGATGATGTTGTAGCCTAATATGAAGGCTACGAGATCAGATTTCTGTTCCAAAGTAATAACATCAACGTTAATACCGTCAGTAACTTAAGGTCCTGGGCTTACTGGTGTGCGGAAGAGAGATGGAAAGCTGTGTGCAGGATGCGCTCTCACTCTGTTGACCGGTGTGCGCTTTTACGCACAGCAGATCTCGCTTTTACGCACGGTGACAGTTGTAACTACCCAGTACCACAACCAGGGAAGTACGTTCATTTCCTGAATAAGTAAAGCTAGGATGCAGTATTTGGATATTTAAACTGCCTGTGGATATTTCCCACACAGCATAATCAGCCTCACACACACACACACACGTGTTGTTTCCTGTTAATCTGCGCCAGAGCACAGTAAGAAAGGAAAACTCACTTTTATGACCCGAACGCCAGATTCTGGATCTCCTTTTAAATATAACAAATTAATAAATCTCTCGAATGAAGGATTAAATTAAAAAAAAAAGTCTTGTGGAGAAAGAAAAATAAATAAAACAGTATTTCTTCCAACTACAGGAGCTACAAAGTACGAGCTTAAATGAGCCTGTGAAGGCATCACAAAACTTCAGTTAGTTGTTTATTGGACTCAACCTGTCACATTTTAAGATAAAACTAAGAATATGTTCAATGATCTGATCATGTTTTATCGATAGTTCACTGTTCACTGCACCAGAAGCACAGAGTCGCTGTAACTCGTCTTCTAGCGCCACCTAGTGGCTGAAAGGCTGCATCACCTGGAGCCCAGTAACTCACTGTGGGAGTGAGATTCAGGAACAGTTTATTATTATATTATCTCTACGGGTCAGTGGTGGAAGAAGTATTCAAAGTAAAAGAAGAAAAAAAGAAAATACAAATATACTCTATTACAAGTAAAAGTCCTGCTTTAAGTATCATAAGTAAAATTAAATGTCAGTGTTATACTTTTATTTATTAATTACTTTTTGTTATACATAAGGTGTTACTGCATAGACAGCATTTTTTGGGTAACAGTGAAGATCATTTAAACAACTTTATTTCGTAGTTTAATCCATAACAAAGCCTCAAATGTTATCTGATGACCACACCTTTTGTACATAAAACCTTAATCCACATAGAAGTACGACAGTTTCCCCACAGTGAGGTGTTAGGAGTAACTGAATTCAACATATTTACTCATATTACTTCCACTATAACGTCTACTACTAATATTGTTATGACATATTTTATGATTGTTGCTTTGTATCATATTCCTGACTTGTGAGTTGTATTGGTAATATTCTATAAATGAATTTATTTCAGCAATGAATTGTATGCATTATCGCTCTATATTCTACTTAAATAAAACATCTGTGTGTCAGCATGAACCAAGGCTGAGTCCTTGCTGCATGTCACCCACCCCCCCTCTCTCTCTCTCTCCCCCCCCTTCCCCATCCATCTGCAACTGTCCAATAAAGGCAAAGAGCAGCCAATAATATATAGTCATAATAACAATATGAATTTTAATAATAAAAATGATAATTTGAGTTCAAAATTGAACCCTCAAACAAAGCAGGGTCAGTTTTAGGGGCTGGTTCCTCAAACCAGTTCTATTCTCACATCAATGTTTAGTTCATAACAGCTGGCGTAACCTTGCTGAAGAAAATCTTTAGAAGGTGAAGCCCCTCTGAACCGACACTATGAGGTTCCTCAAGACTCTTCTACTTCTAAGAGTGTAGTCCGAACAGTAATATAATAATAAATGATTTATATGACTCAGTGTAGTTACTCTCTCTTATCAGATTAAAGTCTGTGATATAAAAAAAAAACCTACAAGAATTTGCATCCTTGATATTAAAAAGTTGGTGAACCCTTTGTGGTGGAGCACAGATCGAGTAGCGGGCAAACTAAAGTGCTAATGAGTGTTTTTATAAGAGGAGAGGTAGTGTATGATCAGTATAGCTGTCTCACATGCCGGGCTGTCACACTGCAGGCCAACAGAGGGCAAAGTGCAAGCTGCTCTGTGACAGTACAGTCGATCATGCTCTCTCTCTTACTCTCTTTCTCTTCCTCCCTCCCCCTGTCGAGTCTCCACCTTGTTTTCTATACCAGTCACACACACAGACTTTCACTCATCAGACTTCAAATTGCTCTGATTTTCACTTCTGGCTTATTGCACCATCAGCAAAGGTAAGACCATTTCCTCCTCCTGTTGTCTGAAAAGTCTAATATGTCTCCTGCTGCTGATTTACAGTACAGTTATAATCTCCTCCCACGAGGCTGCTCACTTTTTTTCAGCCACTTCATTCAAGTAGGACAAACTGGACGTATTGTTTCTCTTTCCTTCTGAAGTGTTAGTGCAGACCACCACTTTCAGTAAAAGAAAAAGGAACATGTGATGGATCTCAGTGGGGATTAATGGTCTCTGCAGATGCACTGAGAGGGGGGAGATTAGCCCACTGATCCCCAGGAGACGTGTTTTCCACTGGGATTCAGTCCATTTTAAGGGCTCATTTAATCTCGCATTAAGTCTTAAAAGCTTACTTTTCTTGGGACAAGTGAAACCCTCTGCCAGTGGGGGGTGTGATAATTACACTCATTACCAATGCAAATGAACTTCCTGCAACAAAAAAAATGCCTTGAATCAAGTGACATGGGCACTAATTGATTGACATACTTTTGAAACAAGCAGAATAAAATGAGATTACCTCACCGTGCTGGTGGATTTCTGTATGAAAAAATGAGATTGTGTAACTCGATCAGGAGCCTCAGTGGGGATCAGGTGGACTGAATGGAGATTAGTTTACTGCTCTAATAAAAAGCTTTCAGGAACAGAGGAGAGGAGGATCTAAATGGACAAGACAGCTGAATTACCGACTGATCGACGGCTGCTTACTGCTGCACTCAAGAAGGCAGGGGATGTTTTTCACTGCCAACAGCAGAGAAAAGACAGAAACAAAAATGGCTAATCCATTTCAGAATGCCTTCCTTTAAAATGGGAAATAGAGACTATAATTAGATGTGGCTAGTTTGAGCTCAAGGACTCTGCTGAGCAGCTCTCCCTATAGCAACGTGTGTGTGTGTGTGTGTGTGTGTGTGTGTGTGTGTGTGGTTGAGTCACACACTTCCGTTTGTTTTGGTTCCTCAGGCGGAGCTCCGACAAATTTAGATCGCAGCAAGTCTAAAAATGCTGAAAAAACATGCCAGAAATATATAATTGGAGAGTGAGTCGCTCATTAAGATTGTTTGCCCAACCCTGGCAACGGTTTCAGAGAGGAAACACTCGAAAACAGAAGTACAGGAGGAGCACGTGTTTGTACAGAAAAAGGGAGAAGATTCTCACACATGTACCACAACAGGCCCGCACACCACACGTGCACCACTTCAACCACCATACATGTGCTGGTTACTCGCAGTTTGTACCAATTCGGCCTCAATTAAAGGTGCTGTTCAGTCAGTAAGGTGTCGATTGAGGTTCCCGGGTAGATTCCCGGGGGTTCAGCCCTCGGCAGCTTCTGGCCTGGGGCTCCATCGAGTGCCGGTGGGAAGCCAGTGAGGGATCAGGTCATGGTCATTTTTGTGGGTTCAATTGATTGTTCTGTTATCACTTGTCTTTCCTCCTAAAAATGAAAGAAAAAGGAGGAATTTAAAAAAAAAGCAGCATAATGGTTACTGGAATATTTCCTAATAAGTAAACTATTGATTATTGGTACATTTTGGTGATTTATGGACATCGTTTTTTTAAAACGTTTTGTGCCAAAATATCAAAGCACATCTGTATTCATATCCATGCAAAACGGCCTCTATAACATGCGTTATAGTGCACTCTATAAACATTTATTATTTACTATTGATAAACACCTATCATTAGTGAAATATTGCCTTAAAAAAACAAAGCAGAAACTCATATTTAAACCCATTTAAATATAAGACATGGTCACAGAATCGAAGTGCCAGTGCTGATATAGATAATAACAAATTAACTCATAACTGTTTGATATTACTCATACTGATTGTCACCTGATACACCTATTTACATACACAGCGATATGTATTTATACTCCAAAATGTATAATTCTGCTAGAAGAGAGAGGACTTAATATGAATAAATAAAACATTTCTATTGATTTAAATGAAATTTTGAACCTTGAAAGTCAACTTTGATCATAATTTTTGACTCTTATGACTCTGACTCATAGTCTCTTCTCTGGATTATGAAAATCAATAACTTATCTAACCCAAGGATCCTGCATCCTTTATTATTCTTTATACACACACTGCACTATGCACTATTGTATTAACATATATATGGACCTCTGTCTGACTGGAAAGCAACTTTCTATGTGTTCAAACAAACATTATGAGCCGTTAAAACACAGTTCACAGGGTTTTTAATTCACTGTATCAGCACCCACAATGGGTCACCAACATAATGACTCATATCAAAGAGTTATAATAATCAGATGATCTTGACTGTGACTTTAAGAAGACCATATATCAGTTCTTTGACCCCGTTCTGGAGGCTGGAGGTGTGAACCTTCGACAGGATTAAACCTGGAGTGTGTTTTCATTCATGCTGCAGTGGTTCCCATATAGGTTATTCTCGTATGTTCTTCTGGTGAAAATGGTTTTTATCACTGTTTACTCTGCTGCGGTCACACGGTCAGGGTGAAGGCGAGGTTAACCACAGCTCACTGCGCACCGTCCTCTGTCTCCCATAGACATGCTCTATGACATGCATGTAATTGCCCCCAGCCCATATGGTAACACAGAGCCCAGATACCACAGAACGATCCACTCCAAGATTAACAGAGGAATGTGGCAGCATGTCACATTCTTCAGGGAGTTAAAAGGTCAAAATAATAGCTTTTTGGTCATATAAAATACATTCAATGACCGATCTGCCATTTAAAACAGTTAAAAAGTTCCAGAAATAATAACAATAATAATAATAATTTACTTCTGTAGCACTTTATTTAAACACACGGTTACAAAGTGCTTCACATATTGGATAAAACAAATATTGTACGCATATAAAATACAAGTGAACATACACACTGTACGTATATATTCATACACACATATGCACAGTACGCAGTAAACAAAGGCAAAGAGAGAGCGTTTATAAAACCTATAAAAGCAAGTTTTCATTTCTTAAAAAAGAAACCACAGATTCAGCACATTTGATGGAACTGGTGAGGCTAGTTAGATGTTTTTGTGTCTGTGTGCCATTGTCCCTCCCTCCGCTCTTCTTTCTGGCTTCTTTAATGCTTGCAAATTAGTTTTTTTAACCTCCTCTCCTCCTCCAGAGTAATCTCTGTGTCAGTGTCTGAGCTCTGAATCGAATCACTGTCATCACTGTGTCAGCTGGTGGAAAGAAACAGTTAGGAGCATCGTGCTTGACGGGAATTCTTTTCCCCCCGGGCTCTTTTTTTTTTGTGAGCCAGATCATTTGGCTCAGCTCAACAATAAGAAACGACCCATTTGACCAATGGTTGATATGTATGCACATAAATAATTACATTTAATAAAATAAATGGATTTATGTATTAATTTGAAACCTTATAATTTCCATAATTCCATAATTTCACATTATGCTTCGTACAAAACACATCAAATGCTATTACACGTGTATTGAATATTTGATTTATATTGATATACATATGAAACGAAAGCGATATCAATCTTCTCATCTGACTTTAAACCAGAAAGAGAAAGAGATTACTGTCACCTCTGACACAGTCACACTCACTCTAGCTGCTAGCGTGGTAGCTAAGAGTAAAAGTCAGACAAGATAAAAAAAACTTATCTGACATTTGTATCAATATCATGAACAAAGCCTTTGATAAAATGATCAATTCTGAGGTTTTTAAAATCTCCAGTTGAGCAGTTTCATGATCCTTTAACCTCATCACAGATAATAACCTCATCAGGAGGCAGAACTCGGTTCGTTCTCTCGGCTTCATAGTTGAAACTTAAAGTGGTTTTCAACATCACAAAAATGGGGAATATTATAATTTCACAATAATTTCATTAGATAAAAGTGATGAAAGAAGGTAATAATGACTTTTCTGTACATAGGTTTCACACTCTTCACTGCCAGGAATAACTAAATCTTATCAGACAGGGATTCCTGAAGCTACGTCTCATTAAATACGAGTCTGATGTGTATCAGTTTGGGGGTCCTTGACACCAGATATGTTTCTGCTTTATAGAAGAATGAACCTTTCTGTCTAATTATAGGACCATTAATACAATAAGCAGTCAGATCTAAGGTCACAATGTTCTGTCCTGGTCAGACTCTCTTCAGTGGTTTTTGTGCGGGTGAGTAATGAGGTTACAATCTGGTGTTTTTGGAAAGCGTTATTCTTGTGACTCATCGTGACCTCCCCTTCAGTCACAGGTTCAGTGAGGGGCTCCAGTGACTCAGCTTTTTGGTTCAGTTCCTAATTTTTTTTTTTTTGGCCCTGACCCCACTTTGTTTTAACATCACATCCTGTAAAAAGGATTTGAGGATTAATAAGGCTGACCGGGCTTGAACTCGCATATCTGTGTGGGCCGAAAACATTTGCCTGGCTGGGAGTTCCAGCTGATACGACACAAGCTCAGATAAATGCTCCGCAAACATCTGCTGACCCGCAGTGAGAATTTTCTCACTTCCCTCAAAAAATTTCCACGACTTTCATTCTCACAGCCGGCATTTCACTTCCTTTCGCAGGGCGCCCATGTGACAGAAACCCAGCCATGGAGAAGCCGCAGCGGGTCGATCTGACCTACATCACTGAACGCATCATCACCATATTCTGCCCCCCCGGGAGTCCGGAGGAGATCTACCTGCAGAACCTGCAGGAGATTATTCACATGCTGCAGTCCAAGCATGGACACAGCTACATGGTGAGACGGTGGTGGAAGAAGCCTTAAGTAAAAGTAGAAATACCACAATGTAGAAATACTGCTTAAAGTAACAGAATGAGTAAGTACTCATATAAAACACATTTATACCACATGCAAAAAAATGCTTGGGATTAGCATAAAGTGTCTGTAAAGAGGAGAGTCATGGGTACCCATAAACCCCCTTTTCATTCAGATAAACTCCACAAAAATCCTCTCTCCAGGAGACATTTATTTTGAAAATCTTGACAAATTCCAAATTAAATTTATTAAATGTGTTAGTTTTAATCTCTAGTTTTATTTACAATACGTATGTGCTATGTTTTGAAGTATGAAAATCAGATTTATATGCAGAGTATTTTCCCACATTGCCACAAAATAATAACGTATGAATGGATTTAGGAAATTCTTAATGTTATACAGTATTACAATACATTGGATTTTTTTGCTGTGACACAATATGGTAGTTTTGTGTGTATTACCACTTCCCAAACCAGTTGTATGATAACAACTCTTTCTCCTTCAGCTCATCAACCTCTCACAGAAGAATGACACTCTCACCCAAATGAACCACAAGGTAACGACGGCCCATCTGAGAGGTTAAATGTCGCAGTGTGATGTCTGTTACAGTATTCTGTGGTTTATCTGTCAGGTTTTGGACACGGGTTGGGTGGATCTCTTGGCTCCCAACCTGGATCAGATCTTCAGCGTGTGCACAATGATGGAGAACTGGCTGCAGAGCCATCCGAAGCACGTCCTGGTGCTACACTGCCGGGTAAACGACAGCACTGATTTCCTCTGCACACGCTGACATCTTTAAATTGATCTGTCAATGTATGTATCCTGACTCTGAGGCTGTCCTCCACAGGGAGGTAAAGGCCGGCTCGGGGTTCTGGTGGCTTCTTACATCCACTTCAGCAACATGTCCGCCAGGTAACACTGACCCCATGTGAGTTTGTTTCAAGTGGTACACAGGGGAGGACGACAGGAACGCGAATGTCCCAAACAAATTTGGCGTAAATCCATGTGGTATTTATCAAAATATTTCAGTGTTCATCAAACTAATAGATTACCAATTACCATCCCGCAGAGCACTTTTGTAAAAATAAAAGGGGGCTCGGAGCCAGTTAATAAACAAATATTAATAATATTTATCAGATAAAATGATTATATATATTTACTAGTTTGTATGAAGAAAACATAAAAAATCCCAGAGTAAATCAATTTATTTTCATTGTAAATTAGAAAATGGTGCCTTATCACTGCCGTTAGTGTGACTTCACACAGACCTTTCATCTAGTGAAGCAGCAGGGCCAAACTTTCCACTAATAACATCAGAAATCTGAACTTTTCCGTAGAAAGAAACACACTTTTGGTTTGATTGATAAATTAATTAATAACTTGTTCTTTCCATGCACACATAATCATTCCTTTGTGGGAACTGTAAAAGTCAGACGCAGTATTGACATTAACTGGAAGTGTTTGCAGATCAAAGAGCGCTGACAGAACAATAGACAGAGTGAACAGAGGCTGATCTACTGTACGTCTCCAGCAGCCAAAGGGCAGGACGGCTGATTGAAGAGACTTTGAACTAGACTGTTGTTTGATTTTCAGGGCCGGGAGCCTGTTGCTGTTGGACACAAGTGAATTTATCTACTCTTAATTTACCTGCACGCCAGAGTCTGAGTCTAGAAGACACAAAAACAGTGTTAAATTCAGCCAAAAGCCTTTTTTTTTTTAAAGCAGAGTTTGTGGTTTATGTGGCCACACAGTATTTCTAACAATGGGAGATGATGGGAAAGGTCAGTTTGAGGCCAGTGAAAATAGAGAAAAGAGGAAGATCAGGTGGGTTTCGGCACTGTTGGTGTACACGTGTGTGTGTGTGTGCACGTCGTTCATGGCCGAACAGCTGACTGAGTGTTGAGAAATATCTGATTGTGACCATTGTCCGTCCTCTCTGGGAATGATCTGTGTGCTTGTGTGAGCAAGTGCAGGTATGCAAAGGTGTGTCAATTCACGCAAATTACAAAAGAAAAAAATGTACCTTCAGTTGTATCTCGTCGTGCAGATAGTTTTATTTGACCAGTTTTTGCTTCAGAGATTTCTGCTGCAACTCAAATATAACGGAGATGAATCAATCTCACCACGAGTCTGTTTATAGTAGTAGCTGTTCTGGAGCTTTCTCAGGGTTCCCACATGTCCTGGAAAACCTGGAAAAGCTAGAAAATTTTGTTTTTCAGTCATAAAGCACCTGGAAATTTAATAAAATGGCCAAATATTCTGGAAACAGTATGTTGTCCTGGTCCTGCCTCACTCAGATATACCAGATGCAAAGAAGACTTGCAGCCATCTTATCAAGTCTATTTTTTTCCGAACTGCAAGCAAAGGTCTCACATCTACATACAGCAAGATCTTTCCAGTTGCTGTGGTTGATCAATACATGCACAGTGATCACTGTAAAACAAATATATAAACTTCTACTTGATTTTGGACTGTTTCTTATGAGCTTGTGGCCAAATTAATGTGCGCACTCGCCCCAAAAACGCAGCTTTTAAGACCGTTTGTGAGCAAGTGCTGTCCTATATTGTCAAGGAAAAAAGTCCTGGAAAAAGTCCTGGAAAATGATTTGTCACAAAGAGTGTGAGGCTGGGAAAGTTTACATCATGGGAGCTTCATGCATCATCACCTGAATATCTGCGTCTCTCTCAGTGCAGACCTTTCTCTCGACCACTTCGCCATGAGGAGGTTCTACAATGACAAGCTCTCCGCTCTGATGACGCCCTCACAGAAACGGTAAGACCAACGTGGACTGAGCAGGATCACTGCAGGTCAAAAGGTCAACTCCGGTTTACCTTCTCAGTACCATAATAAAGCTACAGTACGGTATATATCCCTTTTATAAAGTGATATTAATACCTTTCTCTGTGCCCTGCAGGTATGTGTGGATGCTGGGCAGCATGTTGAAGGGAGGACTGAGGATGTGTCCGTCTCCGTCCTTCCTCCTCTGTGTTGTTCTCCACGGTCTTCCCAAAATAAGACCAGATGGAGGTAGGGAGGAAGCCTGCTGTCTTCATCTGTTCATCTTATTAAAGGAAGAAGATGCTTATATTTCTAGTCTTAAAGTCACGTATTAATACTGTTTTGGGGTGTTTACCAGATTAATACTTGAAATCAGTTATTGTTGGCTTAAATCAACACCGTTCCTCATAATATATAAGTTGGTATAACTTATATAACGTTGGCCCACTAACGTATCCACTCAGATAATATTACTATAACGATAACGTTAGCAAAAAAGGAAGCTGAGGTTAGCCAGCTGACTGCAACCTAGCCACGCTTCACAACGTTATCTGGGACCAGATCAGCTTTTTTTTATAAGATGAAGCTAGTAATCAATTTGCTTTGCAATAAAACCACAATAACACAATATAGTCCAGTTTGTTTAAGTAATGTTAGCTTTGACTTTTAGGACTTTTATGAGCTAACGTTGGCTCGTGTTGCACACTGTAGGGAAGTCAACCAAGAAAGTGGGCAAGTTCAGATTTTTGTACGATTTACACATTGGCAATAAATAGAGTGATTAATAAAACAAAATGACATAGAATAGGCTTCATAATCATACATATGGGACCTTTAATACTGATGCCTTTATATGAAGACCATCTGTGAGTTCTCTTGAAATCAGAGTAAAAATTACTTTGATTTTAGACTCAAATTAAGTAAAAAATTGAATGAATAGCTTTAACTTAACTTAATAAGTACAATATATGAGTACTTCTTCCATTACTGGAGATGGGTCTAATAAAATCGTGGCCACAATGTCAGATATAAAATAAATGATGAGACCTGTCAGGGCTGGAACCGGAAAAATGTCAGAAGTTTATACATCTTAAACCATTTTGAACATTTCTTAATTAATGAATTAACTAATAATTAAATACTGTCTTCTTCCCAGGATGTTGTCTCTTCCTGAGAGTCTACCAGAGTCTACAAACTGTTTGCACATCGGCCGTCTAGTAAGAAATTGCATCAGATAAGTCGCATAATAAAATCTAAACATGGTGGGAAGTTTTCAGAATAAAATACAGCCGTTAATGTGTGTGTATATCCGTCACAGCCATGTTAATGCAGCCCAGACAGACCAGCTCTACTTTGTGCTGCAGCCGGCTCAGCTGCTCAAGGGGGACATCATGGTGAGTGGGAAAGTACATTTTATGAGGTTTACTACTGACACATTATTTATTAATTAATTTATATTTATTTATCCTGTAAGGAGCCATTAGATGCTAACCTTGCACCATTTACTTGCCTTTTTATGAATATATAAATTATTTTACTAACAAAAGAAATTTTTTTATCCTCCTAGTTTCTTCTCCTTTGTTCTTTTTTGTTTTCCCCATATTTATAATGTTTTATTTTACGGATCTGTTCCATATTTCCTCATAATTTTCCAAGAGTTTTCCTATATAATTTGGTAGTAAAGTAAGAAAAATAGGAACTCCAAGTAAAATACAGTAAATATAATTTATTGATATATTATTAGAAATTATTCTCCATATATATTGAAGTAAAAGCTTGCTTACAGACAAATTCCACACTTTTGAATGACCTGATGTGCAAAAATGTCTTGTAATTAATCTTTTTTATTTTTTCCCATATTTAGCACCAAATTTAATAATTCTTTCCAGAATATATTTGGAAATAATTCACAAAATTACTCAGAAGTGGACCATTAAAATAAAGTGTTACCATCTGTTTGTTCTTTTTTAATGTCTTAAATGTTGAAAAGTTATAAAACACAAATAACAATATAAACCACAAAATATATTTTTGAAAAATCTAAATATTGTGTATATAAATCAATAATAATACAAATAAATTCTAAATATAAAATTAAATATGGAAAAAAATCTATTCTTAGTAATTTAACTTTAATATACTGATGCACTTTTGGTAACTTCATGAATTAATGTTGATGTTTCCTCTACAATCAAAAAGGTGTTTTTAATAACCACTTAGTTAATAATTAGAAGCATAAACAAGTTTTTAAGACATGAAAATTTTACTTGTTCCAACTAGTTTTCCACGTTATTTATGTCAACACAACTCATCAAAATCATGTTTCGCAACTCAAAGTTGATCTAAAATCTGTAAATTTGATAGACTTTATAGACTGAATGTAACAGACATCATGGAGCATCATTGTCTCTCTGATTTTAGGTGGTTTGTTATGATAAAAACAGCCAGTCGGACAGCCGTCAGGTCGTCTTCCGCCTCCAGTTTCACACGGGCCTCGTTCACGGACACGCTCTCACTTTCTTCAAGGCGGACCTCGACTGTGCCAGTGAAGGTATTTATGAGCTGCTGCCATCACTGCCAACTGCTGTTTCAGATACCACCACTCTGCCACGGTATCAACCTTAATCTGTAACCGATAAATCCTTTACTGCCCTCCTCCTCCTCCTCCTCCTCCTCCTCCTCCCCCTCCAATGTAAATATCACCTACCTGAACTGACCTTGGACCCTTTATCCTTTATCAGCTGTGCTGGAGCACCGGTGTGAAGTACACATGGAAATATGTCCAATGGGCCAAGTTAACTGTCCAGATGTCTGATTTTGTTTGTTAATATTCCAGATCCTCGGTTCCCAGAAGATGGAAAAGTTGAGCTGCTGCTTTCTGACAGCCCTGAAAAGATTAGAGGTAAACTTTCTCCCAGAAAAAGATGATTTTTCTTTAAAAAAATGAATCTTACACAAACACAGAGCCAGCAAACAGTGAACTGGATGTCAGAATAAGAGAATAAATATGCAGGTGTTTTTCAGAGGCTTTGATCCGGGATCTGCAGCATAAGCTTTCATACTTTTATTATTCAAAGGAAACAAGAGTCTACAGCTCTGGTTGTTTTGAGCTACATGCTAACACACTAACATGCTGATGTTTAGCAGGTAGAATAAAGCTCAAAACAGAAGGTTTCTAAGGATCAGTATACAAAATGCTACAAACTCTGCGTTCTCTAGGTTCCTAACTTTTTTGGCTTAGGATTCATTCATTCAATTAGGAAATGTCTACTTCCAGCCCCTTGTGAAAAAAACACCTGGAAATTGATTAAAATTACCTGGAAAATGTTAATTGTATTTTAGTTTCTGCTGCGGCCAAATCCATGTTACAGTTTCCGGAAAACTGAAGTCAATTCGGATTTGTGCTGCAGGCTCTGAACAGGCAACATGGAGTGTAAGAGAGTGAATAACCTCTTCCCAGTGGAAGAGGTTATTCAGAAGGTTAACTTTGAGGCACTGAGCTTATTATATCCGCCCTCAGAATAAAAGAGTAAACAAATATATATATGTTATAGATTTGACTTTTTTCCAAACAATCTGACCTTTTCCCTCACAAATTTGACTTTTTCCTAAAAAAATGACTTTATCCAAAAAGATTTGACCTTTCCCCCCCCAAAAAAATACTTTTTCCTTAAAATATTTTAGTGGAATAATCAATTGTGGTGAGAACAGCCCAGAACAATGACTACCATTGTGAACAAGTGCTGTCCTGTAACATCCAGAAGATCCTGGAAAATGATTTCTTAAGATGAGTGGGAATCCTGTCTGTATCTACAGTATGAGTGGGAGTTATCACCCCCAACTTTCTAACTGATGCATTCAAACACCTGGACACACAGACACATTATTTGGGCTACAGGTGCTGATGATGAACTGAGAGCGCACCAAGATTCACTGTGTCTCCTCGTTCAAGCAGAAGAGACAGAAATGACTCAGTTTGAACACACACACACACACACACACACACACACACACACACACACACACACACACACAAACTCATGAATGAAAAACACATTCATCGAGTTCAACAAACAGTCACCCAGGTGGGGGCAGTGTTGGACACCAGCAAGAGGACCCAAGAGCCAAAACTGGCCCTCAGCACCAACAATCACACTCCTCGCCTCTCAACAGGAAGTAATATGCGGGGTTATCACACACACACATCTGACAGGAATTCAGATTGCAGATACTGTACACAGGGGGGAAACAGGCAGGCGGGGGAAAACCAGGGCACACAAACACACACACAGACACTGACGGGAAATTAAAGCCTGCATTATTCCTTAAATCCAATTTGAAATGAGATCTAGAATCAGCTGCTGTTGTTGTGTGTTCACACGTAGGTGACTGTGTGTGTGTGTGTGTGTGTGTGAGTGTTGTTGTTTAACTGACTCCTGACCAGCGCTGCCTCTTTGTCTGCTGGTCTGTTTGTCATTTCCACGTGTAGGCAGAGAGCTGTGGCACAACGGACACGGCGTCACGGTGGACTACGACACCTTGGACCCTTTGGTGAGACGGGATTCATATCAAGACACGTCTCCTCCTGAAACAGGTGAGGTGCTTTTTAAGGTTTTTAAAATCAGGAATTCCCCCCCACGCACACACTTTTCCTTCTGTTTTACTTTCTTTTCCTGTTGTTTTGAATTCCTGCGGTGTCTCTGATTTCATTATCAGACAGGATTTGAGATAAAGATCAGATATTTGAAGATACAGCACATTAGGGGGAGATAAATATAACATAACATAACAGTGACCTTCAGTTGTCTGAGTGTGGCATTCTTGGGAAAACCAGAGTCCAGAGCTGTTTGGTTCTGACTTTTAAAAGACCCAATCAGAGATTTATTTTACCTCATTAACAATAACTGATGTGTATTTTACATTTCTGCTGGAAATTTGGCAAAGTCTGCTGTATAGTTTCAGATATTTGAATGGGTTTTTCCTGCAATTAGCAACTGAAAATCTGTGAAGTCGACTCTGAAATACTAGAAGTTTGAGTCATATGCAGAATACATTTAACAATATAGCACATTTTCTCTAAATTCAATGAAAAAAATGGTAAATATATAAATTGACCTAATTCCTATTAGATTTTGAATCAGATACTCAACTGATTCTCCTTTTAAAAAGAGATTCATAGTATAGAATAGTAATAGAAAACATCTTCTAACAACAGTTGCAGACAAC